GTCTTGAATGGAAGCACGACCCCGGGAGCGCCAGGGATTGTTTTAAAATGGTTGTCGTTGCACGGCCGGTAATGACGGCATTTCCCGCACGCGGCGTCTCAACGCTGTGGGTGAGCGTGACGGTCACGCCCGCGTGCGTGCGTCCGTGTCCGTGCAGCTGAGCATGCGGCCCACGGTGAAGGAGCTACGCGAGCGGAAAATCCTGCGCTTCAACGACTACGTGGAACTGGCCGACGTGCAGGACTACGACCGCCGCGCCGACAAGCCTTGGACGCGGCTCACCGCCGCCGACAAAGTACGAACGCCACCCCGACCCCCGACCCCCCCCGCCCCCAACTGCCCGCTCCGCTGGCCCCTGCCACCGCAGGTCGAGGGGAATATCGGGACGCCGGTGGGGGGTGGGGTGAGAGGGGGGACATGGGGACAGCAGGATGGTGACAGAGGAAATGGAGCGTCTCTGGGGGGGTGATAGAGGGGCATCGGGTGGGATGACACACGTCATGGGAGGGAGTACCACATGTGGGCGCCGTGGGGTTCTACGAGCACACCGATGGGACTTGGGGGGGGCTGGGGGGGGGGATATGTTATCCGGCGATGCTCGCTCAGCCAGCTTCGCGCTGTGCAGACGCTCGTTGCGGGATGCCGTGTGTCGTGGTGGTTGCCCCCTTTGTTAATGTGAACGTGTCGTCACCGTGCGTGCCTGCGTGCGTGCATGGCCTGCGTGCGTTCCAAGGCGGCGATCCGCAAGGAGCTCAACGAGTTCAAGAGCATGGAGATGGAGGTGCACGAGATGAGCCGGCACATGACGAGGTGAGGAGAGACATGCACCCTCCCGCATCCACCTCGCCAGCCCTGTAGCATCAGGCCGTGGGGGTGGGGGCTAGAGAGGGCTGAGTCCCCCTGTCCTCCTTCTGAAGCCTCGCAGCCCCCCCCACCCCCCCTTCAATAGCCGGAGGTGGAGCGACAAAATGCACAAACGAGTCCAATTATAAGCGATGGGCGTTTCAGCCTTTCCTCGAATACACGGGGTGAGAGCCAGAGCAGCGTTCACGATAGACACGAGCGGATCGCACCGTTACTCATTCTGTTCAGCGCTTGACATTTGTTTAAAGTTTATTTAATATTGACTGTGGCTAATTGTATAGCCCCCCCCCACCCCGATTCCTAGTCTGGAGAGAGTGAGGAGCTTGTGTAGTGTACTTCAGTTCTGATGAAAAATAAAAAATAGTTTTTTTTAATTAGATGTGGATGTTGCTCTCTCCCACCACCAACCCCCCGACCCCTTCCCCTGCAGGTTTCACAAACCGTGACGGCACGACGGCCTGCACACTGCACATCACTGCACATCCTCCCGCAGGCCACGTCCTGCTGCTTCGGGGACCCCGGTGTTCGTCGCCCGTCACAAACAAAAATAATCATCGAGCTACGTCTTGTGCCTCGTGCCGGATCGGAGGGGAGGCGAGGATGGACGTTGTCGGACGATCCTAACGAAAGCATCTATCGCTCTTTACAAACACGGAGATCTCTACTAATTGCTAATTGCTCGGATGCCTTGGAAACAAAATCAAGCATATCACTCGGGATCGGCAGTGATTGGAGCAGCAAGAGGCAGGGTGGCCTGGAGGACAAGCGGCCGTGGATCAAGCGGCGCTCCCCGTGGCCTGCCCCTGCCAGACTTGACCGATGCTAATTATATCCTGATTTGCACTTTGTCCACTCTGCGCTAATCATTACAGGAAAGGGACTGAATTGTTATGTCGCTTGTAAACTTTCTTTTTTGTGTTTGTGACACACGGTGGGTTCTGACTGCCCACCGGCTCAACAAAAAACAAACGGGCTCTAACCGAGCACCGATATTTACTTTGTTGTACTGCGACCACGCTAAGTTATATAGTGACATTGTTTCTGATCATTCTTTTGTCGAGGAGCGTTGGGTAACGTGCACGGGCACGCCCCCGTAGTGCGCCGCCGTTTGACGTCGCGATCGGAATGCCGAGCGCTAAACGCGGGGTTTGCAGCTCGGAGCGTCAGCTGCCTCTCCTGCCTGAGCGGCGTCTTAAGCTCTCGACGGCCAGCTAGGGATTGCCACCCCTGGGGTACAAAACATCCGCGACATATGGGAAGAAGAATATCTCACGAAACCAGAAGAGGCGGGGAGGTGTGGGGGGGGGGGTGTGAGAATGACATGTGAATGCATTGTCTTGAGTAGTGTATCATTATGCAACTGACAGAAACTGGGATTTTTGTACGGATGCATGTTGAACTTGTTTTGCGTCGCACGTAGCCAACTGCGCTCATCGGAGGTGCGGGGGAAGGACAACTTTTAATGTCCCGGGAAGACTAACCGATTTAACAGGGGCGCGCGCTTCTTCGAAACAGGGGTCGATCCTGGGAAAACCAGGACAGAGTTGGCATCCCGAGGGGTCCCAGTGCTGTCCATGCAGTGAATTAATGAAGTGAGCCTATGGGATTGAATCCACTCTGAAGCCGGATGTAAAATGTGGTAATCTTACGGTTTTAACAATGAAGGTAACATTCGCCCAATCTTAATGCTATGTGAATAATATTTGTATATTTTTGTTTTTTTTTCTCTGGCTTGTTTCCCCCCCCCCCCCCCCCCCCCCCATCGGAAACTTCCATTTTTACAAATGCTCCACTACGCTTGTGAAATATTAATGGACTATGCGAGAATGAGATTGCTTCCTGTGGCCACCTTGTTCCACGTTTAATCTCAGTATTACCAGTCGACAGTTGCGGCCAGCTGCTGCTGTTGCTTTGGCTCCGAGGAGGGCGGCGACGCGATTGCGAGTGGCAGCCCCCCCCCACGTGAACACTCGGGGTCGGGCCCCCGTTTTGAGCCGTGGTAGAAACTGAACCCACGGCTGCCTCCTCCACCCCCCCCCCCTTGCTGCTGACAGAGAGAAGAGTAGATGGGGCCCCAGAGTTGTGCATCTCTTGGGCTCGAATGCCTCGCCTAGGCCGCCGCACAAGGGGGTAAACGTGTAGCCACTCGCAACGCGTGCGCGTCCGACGTTTTTGGTCAATGTGCATTATTACCTTACAAGCATCGATCTTCGGAGAGAGCGAGTCGTGCTTTGCTCACCAGTTGTGTTCACTGCCCGCTTCTTCGCTTCAACTCCGCCCGACTTGAAGGCCGCGGGTCCCGTTTGCGTTGCCATTTTGACTGCCTGGAACGTTTGCGTCGAGTGCGTTTGGCTCCCCTCCGTAGACAAGCGGCGCTTGAACCGCAGCTGGGGGGGTCTACCGGCGCAGCCTTGCCCGTGCGGCAGATGGCACCGGTTTCACGCCCGCCGAGGCAACCGGTGCCGATCGACGTTGGATCCGCGAGGTTTTTCCCCTCTTCCGTGGACAATCTCTTGTTGGCCAGGACTGCCTGTCGGGAGCGACGTTGAAATTGAGCAACGTGGACGGGAGGGCGATCACTTCTCCCGCCGCCCCCCCCCCTCCCCCCCCCCGATGCTGGCAAAATGATGGCCACTTTCTGGCCGCTACTGCGTTCACCTTGTGCCTCACAGGGAGAGCTGCCACTGGGTGGTCCCCTGCCGCACGGACACCTCGAGATGTCACTGCATGGGAGGCGCGGTATAAATAGCCGCGTGCCGTCGTCACGGCTCTTGTAGTTACACCCGTTCATGTGCATCTGCTGTGGGAAAGAATGCCTGGTTGTCAGAATGCAGGCATCTCTTGTTCGGCCATAAATTAAGCCCATACCCCTGTCCATCACATCTTATGAACACCGTCTTCACACGCGCCAACCCTACCGATGTAAGCAGTAGGGCCCCAATATATATTTTTAAATACCCTTTAAATGGCATCGATTTTCAAAGCAAATCTCGTAAATTTTTATTCATTTTTTTTTTATTAAGCAGAACGATTTGCTTTGGAAATTGATGTAATTTTAACTCAATATTCTTAAGCCACTTGAAAAATTTCCCGGCCATCCCATTCCCAAATATTGGCCCCCGATGCCGGGTCGCCCCCAGGACGCCCTCAACCCTGCGGCGTGTCGTCACGTCACGTCACGTCAGTTCGCTTCATTTTAAATCTTTTATCCTACCGTAATAATTTTGGGTTGTAAATGTGAAAACTCTAGCGATTTTTATTTTTTATTTTACGTCAACACTGTGTTTTAAACAGTTTTTTTAAGGGCACTTGTTGGGGACGATTGTGACTTCACAGCCGCATGTGCAGGGTGTTCCAGCCAGGCTCCGGATTTTCAGTGACCCCCCCCCCCGCCCCCCCCCCCCCCCCCCCACTGGTTTGTCAGAATGTGAGTCGTTTATTTTGCTTCCTTTAATGTAAGTCGATTCCATTTGTTTTTTATTTATGCAATAAGCTCATGTTGTACGTCGCTGAAAGCACCAGTGCCTTTTGGTCGACATTGGTTAGTGAAATGCAAGAGCACTTTTTCTTTTTAAAGATCCGGCGTTTATTAAACAAAGTGCTACCACACTGTGCTGGAGGGAGACAGGACATGAAGTGCCTTGCAAGAACAACACGCATTGAAGCAGCAACTAAACAAGTTAACTCGTGCAGCTTTGTGAATTATAAATAAAATGTGATATTAAAGTATACGTGCCCTCATGGTGTGCCGCGATTCTTTTAAAGCGCTTTGCAAAACGAAGAGGGAGGTGGGGGGAGGGTACGGGGTGGGGGGAGGGGGTGGGGGGAGCCGGAGGCACCCGAGGTAATAACCCAAAGTCTAATTTGCCAGAGCTGAAATCGATACCCACCTCAGGCAGCAAAGCACATTTTTTTAGTCGTACCCATTTATTGATACTGTGACCAGTGCCTTACTGGGTAGCCTCAGCGATGAATCGCGGAATCCACCGTTATTGGCCACACAAATAATGTGGAAACCTCAAGAAATGCCCACCCCCTTGGTGGCACCGACAAGTGACATTTCTGGCCTTGGTTCACGGACTCGCAAGGACAACCCCACTTCTGCCTGCGCGGGTTCCAGGTGGCGCACGCAAGTGTCCACTGGTAACTTTAATTGCCGTCCCCCCCCCCCCCCCTTGTTTTTACACGACTATGTAAACGCCGTTTAAAACTCGGCCTGCTTTGACCGAATTGTTGCAGACGTCGGACATCGTAGGCAAACAACGAAAACTCATCGTTTTGAGAAACTGTTAATCTGGTTTTTACGCAAACGGTTTCATCGGATCGGTTCAAACCAACGGGGTTTATTCTCCCTTCGTGAGTAAAAAAAGGGCTAGCGTTACGCAAGAACGGATTCTTAATCGCGGTATCTGTAAATGACGTGCTGATGAGCCAGCTCTGGCATCTGTCTAGGCTTGCAGGATGGGGCTTGCGGCAGTGTCTGGCGGTGCAGTTGGCGGCTTGCGTTGATCCCCCAGCGGATTCTGAGCGGATGACGGTGTCTGGAAGGGCGCATTAAGGGGCAGCCTCGAAATTCATCTCGACCTGAAGACAAGTTTCAACAACCCGAGGCACAATTTTGGCTTCTCTGAAAACAAACCCATTAAGTACAGACCCCCCCCTCGCTCAGCTCAAACGCGACGGAGCATCATTCTGGCAGGAGGTGTCTGCGATTTGGCCGTGACGGCGCCACTGCTTTCCAGGTTGGCACCCATGGGCGAGTCCCGGCGTCTGTAATTATCCCATTCTGCGTCCGCTCAAAAACGTCCTCCTCGCCTCCCTCAAACGGGAAATAATAAATCCTCAAGCCGTGAAACTACATGTAGTTTTGTTTCCCTCCGAATTGTGGCCCATTGTTTTCTCAAGCGAAACGCTTGAAGGACCTGACCTGGATTCTTATTTACTTCCCACATAGAAGATTAATGCATTATTAGTTCCAAATAGACTTATTCGAGCATCTTGTCTGCACAATAGTGACACCCACTGGTCACCGATGTCCCATTCATGAAACCATGAATGCATTAGCTCTGGCTGCGACGACAACTGATGATGCCCCTTCTTCACCTTTGTGTTGACCAGGAAATGTGTCATTCTCATGTCCTCCTCTACCACTGTAACTTTTTACTGCTGTTGCTGCACGACCAGAAAAGTTAATTAGACGGCATGGAGTTCCATGACCTCTAAATTAATTACCAGCTACAGCTTCTCTATAAGATGCCAATTTTTTTTGAACAATTTTTTTTATAACGATCGTGCTCTCAGTGTTAATTCACAAGGCAAAGTATTCATTGGATCTCTCGCAGTGAAGTGCAACCTTTCATTTTCAAGAACGGCCTGAAGAAGTGGATGTTTTGAAATTCCTTCAAGTGTCCTCCGGTCCACACGGTAGAGCTGAGAACTTTCCCAATCACTCTACCACTATGTTTTTCACATGATAGTCAAACCGATGTTGTTTACTTTAATTCTCAGCTGGAATTTATCCAATTTTAATATGACGGTTGAAGTCCATTGTTCGGTTTCACCACCAGCTAAACAACACCAGTCCGGCATTGCTACAGGAGTGCGGGGGTAGTCCCAAGTGTTCTACAGGGCTACGTGTGGACGGGAGCTCCCGTGTGCTTCTGCCAAAGCTCAATGGCCTTGGTCACGATTGCGTCCGTGTTCTCCTGCGGAATCTGAGAAGCAAAATAAAAACATCTATTTAACGCTCTCTCCGTGCACAACGCATACACCTGACCTTCACTCGCGACCAAAATACATCTCGACGTCAAAGCGCAGTTGTTCCAATCGCGCGGTTGTTCCAATGATTTTACCTTTTCCAAAAACTGCACAATGCTGTCGGCCTTGTTCATCGTCATGAGAGTCATCTTGAACGTGAGGAGGATTCCCATGGCGACGAAAACTAAAATCTTGCAGGAGCCACTCATGATCTTGTCCCACACCCTGTTGGAGTACAGGAGAGAGAGAGTTCAAAATGGGATCGGTTTTCAAAAGTGGAGAAAACCGCCGAGCATAACGCGTTGTTTTTGTAAGCAATACCACAAAGGCTTTAGTATCTGTATTGATGTCGTATATCTTGTATATAAGTGTTCTTCATTGCAAGGCCCACGGGGCTACTCGCCACATCTGGTGGCCTTTAGTGCAGCTTCCGACAATACACAAATGTCAACACCCCCCCCCCCCCCCCATCATCTTCATCGTGCTGTCAAATCCCAATGGTTTAAACCGTGTAATTTCTCAGTAGTTCACACTGATTTACATTGCAAACAAAGTTGAAATATCACTCAAGTTATTTTGCGCAAACGACCACCGTTCTCTCAGGCATGCGCAGATACACACGGGGGTTTAGACCGAAATAAAAGTCCCGATAGGTCAGCTGTTTGTCGCAAGTCACGCTACCTCTCCAGACTCTTGTTGGGAAGGGTCCCGGCAAAGCAGCGGGAGAACCATCGGGAACACGGCAGCCTCGGCAGCGCCCCGGTGCCACGCAGGTGCTGCAGCAAGCGTCCGTCCTCCACGCCCAGGTAATGCTCCAGGCTCTTGGGCTGCGAGCAAACATGCACGTGTGTCACTACAACCAGCGGCGGTGGCGGCAATAACAATTACAGTTCGGCGGTGACGGGGCCGTGCGGTCGCGTGTTTGCCGCTCGTTGCAGACGGCGAGCACCCTGGCTAATGCTGCGGGTGTGTTAAATGTAGGATACACGATGTCTGCTTTGCAAGCACAATAGCGTCACGGTGTCTGCTCTGCGTTGCAGACACCGTGACGTTATTCGAAATCGAGCGGGCCATGTGTGCCAGCGTGCCAGTCCAAATTTAACATTTTTCCTACAAATTACCCAATTACCTCGTGGGGTAACAAAACCACATAGGAACATTGCGCCCTTCTGGCAGACTATACCCATGAGTGAAACATAGCACGTTGGTGATAGCCTCTCGCCGTAAGAATGCCTCGGATACCAAATGTAATTATTATTTTACATGGTGCCGAAATGCAATCGCACTTGAAATGCAATCGCACTTGACGGCGCTTAACACAAGTGATGAACATGAAGGAAGAGGTGAAATGGGAAGAGGTGGAGGGGGAAGGGCAAGCAACATCGCAGCACGGCCCCAGGGCCAACGAGGCCAAGCACACGGCGACACGAAGCGACTGGGGCTCAACGGGTCCCCGGGTGGCCCAGACGCGATGCTGACATAATCCCAGGGGCAGTGAGAGCAGCACCAATGGGTACCAGAAGGTGGCATATCCACCATGCACGCATGCACGCTCACCACGGAGCCAGGGAGAGGAAACGCTGCCGCTTGTTAGGGGTTGTCCATAAATGACGTCACGCGATTTTGGACGATTTTGGACGATTTTTGACCCCCCCTCCCCCATCGTCACACGGCGTCACAAAAATTCAGACCCCCCCCTCAAATATGACGTCACAAAGCTCTGCCCCCCCCCCAAATAAAACATGCTTCAAATCGCTTTAAACTATTGTCATTGTAGTGCGTATTTAATGTGGATCTGCACTCTGATATGTTGTAGGAGAAAACATTTATTAAAAAGTCTATTTAATTAAGTAGAACGTGTTGTCTATATTTATTTAAAGTTGCGCATTTTGATGTGACGTCACATTTCTCAACCCCCCCCCCCTCGTCACACATCGTCACAAATATCTGACACCTCCCCCCCCCCCAGGTGCGTGACGTCATTTATGGACGGCCCCTTATCTTGAATAATGCAGGGAATTGATACGCAGGCTCAACAAGGCTGGCAGTCCAAACACGACTGCAGACTCCTGCGGTTGTGCCGTAGATATTTTCGGGTCGTACCGCGTCTTGTTCGGTACGATGTCCGACGTTTCGCTCCACGTGCTGGGGGGGGGGGAAGCTTCTTTCGGGAACCTGAACTGAAGAAGTTTCCGGGTACGTGCAGCTGAAGAAGCAGGCGGAGCGAAACGTCGTACTTTCAGTACAACCCGGAAAAGAAAAATAACATTGGGGATTCCAACACGAGTTCTGCTGCTGTGCGCAAATGCAGTGGCTCACCAGATGCGGCAGCGAGTCTACGTATTTGTTGTTAAATTGAGTGAAGAAACACTTCGCCAGCCAGTAAGCGTCCACTTCATTCTCCGCGATTTCAGACATGCTCGACACCACGGCAATAAAGTCCCCTTCCTCTTCCTCCTGAAAGAGACCGTGCAGAGCGTCCGCTAGAGAACACCACCAACAATAATATTGACGTATTCACTTAGTCATTCCACTGCTAGATCAAGGCCTTCCCACACTGTGTTGGTCACGGGGTTTCTTTAACCAAAATCGTGACTGATGTCAGCCTTGACTGGGAAGGTGGTTGGGTTCAAAGTGTAGTACACCGACGACGACTGGACCACCGTTGCATCCTCACCATCCATCATCATCATCATCGCCATTATCAGCCATGATCACTCTACTGCTGGATGAAGGCCTCCCCCAAGCCGTCACCACGTCTCATGATCCTGCACCTAGGGCCCCCCCCACAGGAGCCAATTGTGTCGCTCCGTCCCCTTGGGTGAGGGTGTATCCCCCTTCTTTGGCTGCCACTTCACCATTAGTTTGGACCACCGGCCATCATCCCTTTGAGCGACGTGTTCTACACAAGCACACTGTTTTCTTAGCCACCCATATGGAAAACGTGCAGCCCTGCAAGTATTCACACCACCGCTGGCAAAATGGCTTTCACTACAGTCAGCTCAGGGAAGCCCCCTAGAGAGTATGTTTTGTATACTGTTCCACGCGGGCCAGACGTCTTGGTAGAGGTGGGAGTATCCACACTTTACCCTACCACACAACTCCTGCAAATTGACTAACCGCGGTGTACCCATTTATACCGCTTGGTGGACAGACGCAACAGTGTTTAAACTGCTGCACCGGGAGATGGAATCGAACGGGCCACCTCTGGATTGCAAGTCCAGTGCGCTAAACAATTACACCGCGGCGGCCGCACTCCTAGCCACCCACGAGCGCTGCCAAAAGTTTACGAGAGCCCTTGCCTGCCTCGGCTTGGTCCCTGCCCCGAACCCCAGTTATGCCGCGTACCGGTGGCTGGTCACAGCGGCGAGGGAGGCAGCCGTTCTCCAGCTGCAGCATGCGCAGCATGGTGTGTGTGTCGGGCGCGCCGTCCCCTGTGAGGCGCATGGTGCGCAGCGCGTGCAGCACGTCCTGGTGCTGCTCCGCACGCTGCTGGGACACGGCCTCGTGGGCCGCCTGGTGCGGCGGGAGGACGCCTGTGGGAGCACATGGGCGCGCGCACTTTACCAAAGACAAAGATCCCCCACACCGTATAGCTGTTAAAAGGCTGTTGGGGCAAGTCCCGTTAGCGAGTGGCACCTACGCAGGCCGGCACGGTACACGAGAGGGTGGGTGGCTAGCACCATGCCTGATCACCTTTTTCTCTCGAGTGGCGATGTTTACACATCGCACCAGGTACTCGTTTGAGAGTTAGTCGACATAGGGAGGCCCAGGATTGGTTCAAATAACCGTCACTGGTGTTGGACGTGAGCGGGAATCGAACCCGTATCGCCGGGTTCATAGCGCAGCGCGCTAACCGTTACACTACCGCTCCCCACATATCCACACACACACAGACACACAAGGCCCCATTCAGTCCCCGCAAAGAGAACCCCCCGCCCCCCCCGGCCGAGATATCAGGGGCGCTCATACCAAGCAGCACCTTCCAGATGAGGATGCGGTAGATGGTGGGGATGGGGAAGCGCTGGCTGAAGGTGCACAGCTTCTCCAGATCTACACACGCAGACACGCGACACGACGCGCCCAGCAACCGTCCACAACCCAATGACCGCCATCCGACTCACGCCCCATCAGCACCCATCAATCGAATCCTGCGTATGGCAGCAATTACGTTCAAGAGCTGAATACCAATGTTGAGATCTGCTCGCCACGATGAGAGGGCTTCAGGAGAGTTTGTGTAGTTTTGCTATTCTTTGTCCATTGAAGGAGCACAGACTACAGTGGTGTACTATATAGTCGATAGGTTTGTGTTGCATAGCCACAGTCGGACTCCTGTAGCTTGTCTTTAACTTTCCATTCATGGAGGAGATATGTGCATCGGGCCTGTTGATGTCCTGATGCGGTTGATAGTTTTACCAGTGTCACTGGGGAATGTCAAGGCCAGGAGGTGCACCTACTGACCCCCATCATTGCATTTGACATATATCCTTGTTTGTTTACATGCTAGCACAATGGTCCCGTTTAATGTGTCTGCAGCTTAGTTTTGTAATTTTGCTGTGGCGAAATCTGTACGTAATTTAACAACGCAGATTTGTTCTGCGGGGGAAAATTACATTTGCAAATTTTGAGTTCTTCCGCAGCGATTAGGTTGTGTTTTCTTTGCACTTTTAATTTGTTTTGCTCTCGTAGTTTTGGTGAGCGATGTCACTCTTGAAAATGAGACCATCCTCGTCTCTTGCGTTCGCATCTGGTTCACCAAAATTTACCTGAACTTGAAACTTCAATCAACTAGGTCATTTAGATCGAGTGACCTCACCTGATGCTAATTATTTGGTGATGTTGCATTAGCAGTGGTGCACAAGCACAACTCACAGAAACTCTACATGAATCAATGACACTGTAGCCCTTAAAATCTATTTTTGTAAAAATATAATAGGTGACGTTTCGAGCAATGGGCCTTCTTCATTGGGCATCATTTGTATTGACTGATGCTGCTTGACGACTTGAAAGAATAATGGGGCGACATACTGCGACGTGAAGAAGAAAGCTCAAGATCGACCAGGGCAGAGTTTTTATGAACCAATGCCCTGTTATTGCAAAGATGACTAATGGATACGAATACCCTGGCTGGATCACCAATTAGCTGATCATAACCCAGTGTACCCAATCTGACTCTATATAAAAACATTTTTTATTTTACCGGGTAAGACCCACTGAGCTACGTAGCTCTTTTTCAGAAGTGACTTGGCCACAAATGACAGCTCGGCGAAGTGGCTTATCACGTGGAAATTTAGAGCAGCCAAATATCCGTTGATAAATGCGGAGGGGAAAACTGTAGGACCCGGAGAAAAATCCACGCGACCACGGGGAGAGAGAGAGAGACACGCAAACTCCCAATATACAGCAGGCGTTGGAGTCGGGATCGAACCCATGACCTCCTGCATACCAGGCGAGGTAGTTAACATTTCGCAACGTTGGCGCCCTAAAACCAGGCTGGATCGCCGTGACCCAGTGACCCTGTCTCAGACTGGCTGGGTCGCATCTCCTTGATGCGCTGGGGAGAGACCCGGGGTGAGGAGGAGGAGGGGGAGGACGGTTCAAGTTCAAGTTCATTTATTAGGTATAGCCCTGTGAGCCATTCGGCTCTTGAATCGGGTGCAACCGCAACAAACAAAAAACATGAACAAGAAAACATCTTAAAGTGAATATGTGACTAAGTGCAAACAGACAATCCAAGAAAAGACAGCAAAATATTGCAGAAAAAACACCGTACACCAACGCTGTGTGCAAAAATCCCAGTGGGATGCAAGTCAAACAACAACAACAACAACCACAAGACAACTTAGATTAAGGCCATCAGTCTAACTCTGTACTACAACAAACAAACATGGCTAAACCAATACACTTTTCGAAATCACCAAAAAAAAGCCATGAAAGCAATGGAAAAGCAATCATAGGAACTGTGACGGTATTTTCACAATAAATGGTGCCCTTACCGAGCGGCTCGTCCTTGAGGAGGATCTCCAGGCTGCGCTTCTCGTCCACGCCGTGGAAGCCCACCTTCTTGTAGTAGTGCGAGCGAAAGTTCCTCGGGTTGTCCTCCGCCATGGCCATTGGGACCCTGGCGGAAGGGGGACGCGGTGCGTGAGAGACCGAGTGAGCCGTGCGGGCGAGTGACTGAGTTGGCCAGTGACTGAGTGGGTGAGTGACTGAGTTGGTGACTGAGTGGGCGAGTGACTAAGTTGGCAAGTGACTGAGTTGGCGAGTGACTGAGTGGGTGAGTGAGTGGGCGAGTGACTGAGTTGGCGACTGACTGAATTGGCAAGTGACTGAGTTGGTGAGTGACTGAGTTGGTGACTGAGTGGGCGAGTGACTGAGTTGGTGACTGAGTGGGTGAGTGACTGAGTTGGCGACTGAGTGGGCGAGTGACTGAGTTGGCGAGTGACTGAGTTGGCAAGTGACTGAGTAGGTGAGTGACTGAATTGGTGACTGAGTGGGCGAGTGACTGAGTTGGTGACTGTGTGGGCAAGTGGCTGAGTGGGTGAGTGACTGAGTTGGTGACTGAGTGGGCGAGTGACTGAGTTGGCGAGTGACTGAGTGGGTGAGTGAGTGGGCGAGTGACTGAGTTGGCGAGTGACTGAGTGGGTGAGTGAGTGGGCGAGTGACTGAGTTGGCGAGTGACTGAGTTGGCGAGTGACTGAGTGGGTGAGTGAGTGGATGACTGTGTGGGTGCGTGACTGATTGGGTGCGTGACTGTGTGGGTGACTCACTGAGTGGGTGACTGACTGAGTGGGTGACTCACTGAGTGGGTGACTCACTGAGTAGGTGACTGAATGAGTGACTGAGTAGGTGACTGAGTGGATGACTGTGTGGGTGAGTGGCTGAGTGGTTGTTTGTGTGGGTGGGTGAGTGACTGAGTGGGTGACTGAGTGGGTGACTGAGTGGATGACTGCGTGGGTGAGTGACTGAGTGGGTGAGTGACTGAGTGGGTGAGTGACTGAGTGGATGACTGAGTGGGTGAGTGACTGAGTTGGTGTCTGTATGGGTGAGTGACTGAGTGGGTGAGTGACTGAGTGGATGACTGAGTGGGTGAGTGACTGAGTGGGTGAGTGACTGAGTGGGTGAGTGACTGAGTGGGTGAGTGACTGAGTGGGTGAGTGACTGAGTGGGTGAGTGACTGAGTGGGTGAGTGACTGAGTGGGTGAGTGACTGAGTGGGTGAGTGACTGAGTTGGTGTCTGTATGGGTGAGTGACTGAGTGGGTGAGTGACTGAGTGGGTGAGTGACTGAGTGGATGACTGAGTGGGTGAGTGACTGAGTTGGTGTCTGTATGGGTGAGTGACTGAGTGGGTGAGTGACTGAGTGGGTGAGTGACTGAGTGGGTGAGTGACTGAGTGGGTGAGTGACTGAGTGGGTGAGTGACTGAGTGGGTGAGTGACTGAGTGGGTGAGTGACTGAGTGGGTGAGTGACTGAGTGGGTGAGTGACTGAGTGGGTGAGTGACTGAGTGGGTGAGTGACTGAGTGGGTGAGTGACTGAGTGGGTGAGTGACTGAGTGGGTGAGTGACTGAGTGGGTGAGTGACTGAGTGGGTGAGTGACTGAGTGGGTGAGTGACTGAGTGGGTGAGTGACTGAGTGGGTGAGTGACTGAGTGGGTGAGTGACTGAGTGGGTGAGTGACTGAGTGGGTGAGTGACTGAGTGGGTGAGTGACTGAGTGGGTGAGTGACTGAGTGGGTGAGTGACTGAGTGGGTGAGTGACTGAGTGGGTGAGTGACTGAGTGGGTGAGTGACTGAGTGGGTGAGTGACTGAGTGGGTGAGTGACTGAGTGGGTGAGTGACTGAGTGGGTGAGTGACTGAGTGGGTGAGTGACTGAGTGGGTGAGTGACTGAGTGGGTGAGTGACTGAGTGGGTGAGTGACTGAGTGGGTGAGTGACTGAGTGGGTGAGTGACTGAGTGGGTGAGTGACTGAGTGGGTGAGTGACTGAGTGGGTGACTCGCTGAGTGGGTGACTCGCTGAGTGGGTGACTCGCTGAGTGGGTGACTCGCTGAGTGGGTGACTCGCTGAGTGGGTGACTCGCTGAGTGGGTGACTCGCTGAGTGGGTGACTCGCTGAGTGGGTGACTCGCTGAGTGGGTGACTCGCTGAGTGGGTGACTCGCTGAGTGGGTGACTCGCTGAGTGGGTGACTCGCTGAGTGGGTGACTCGCTGAGTGGGTGACTCGCTGAGTGGGTGACTCGCTGAGTGGGTGACTCGCTGAGTGGGTGACTCGCTGAGTGGGTGACTCGCTGAGTGGGTGACTCGCTGAGTGGGTGACTCGCTGAGTGGGTGACTCGCTGAGTGGGTGACTCGCTGAGTGGGTGACTCGCTGAGTGGGTGACTCGCTGAGTGGGTGACTCGCTGAGTGGGTGACTCGCTGAGTGGGTGACTCGCTGAGTGGGTGACTCGCTGAGTGGGTGACTCGCTGAGTGGGTGACTCGCTGAGTGGGTGACTCGCTGAGTGGGTGACTCGCTGAGTGGGTGACTCGCTGAGTGGGTGACTCGCTGAGTGGGTGACTCGCTGAGTGGGTGACTCGCTGAGTGGGTGACTCGCTGAGTGGGTGACTCGCTGAGTGGGTGACTCGCTGAGTGGGTGACTCGCTGAGTGGGTGACTCGCTGAGTGGGTGACTCGCTGAGTGGGTGACTCGCTGAGTGGGTGACTCGCTGAGTGGGTGACTCGCTGAGTGGGTGACTCGCTGAGTGGGTGACTCGCTGAGTGGGTGACTCGCTGAGTGGGTGACTCGCTGAGTGGGTGACTCGCTGAGTGGGTGACTCGCTGAGTGGGTGACTCGCTGAGTGGGTGACTCGCTGAGTGGGTGACTCGCTGAGTGGGTGACTCGCTGAGTGGGTGACTCGCTGAGTGGGTGACTCGCTGAGTGGGTGACTCGCTGAGTGGGTGACTCGCTGAGTGGGTGACTCGCTGAGTGGGTGACTCGCTGAGTGGGTGACTCGCTGAGTGGGTGACTCGCTGAGTGGGTGACTCGCTGAGTGGGTGACTCGCTGAGTGGGTGACTCGCTGAGTGGGTGACTCGCTGAGTGGGTGACTCGCTGAGTGGGTGACTCGCTGAGTGGGTGACTCGCTGAGTGGGTGACTCGCTGAGTGGGTGACTCGCTGAGTGGGTGACTCGCTGAGTGGGTGACTCGCTGAGTGGGTGACTCGCTGAGTGGGTGACTCGCTGAGTGGGTGACTCACTGAGTGGGTGACTCACTGAGCGCCTCGCTGTCCCTACCTGGGCCTCCTCGTCTCGCCAAGCCCACCGCAGTCCGCCACTGCTGTTTCGGTGGACCGGGCCCGGAAACCCACGTCCCGAAATATAGTTCCGCCCGTGTTTCGGTTCCGGCCAACCATCATCTCTCTCACGCCCGGCCTCTCACGCCCCCCGCTGGCCACTCTGACGCAGTGAGCGCCTCCCTCCCTGTGAGCTCTGCCTTGACGGAGGATACATCCTCTGTCTGGACCTACTGCACCAACAATACCGTCAACACGACGTCGATCACACCAGAACACGATTGCACCTACCCATAAAACTACCCCCCAACGCATTCAACTTCTTTCGCGCCGTACGTAGCCAAACGTGCTAATCGGAGGTTGCGGGGGAAGGACAACAAACCAACACCAGCATCACTCCGACAACTACCTCGAACCCTTAGGGGCCGTCCATAAATGACGTCACGCGATTTTTGACGATTTTTGACCGCCCCCCTCGTCACACGGCGTCACAAAGTCAGACCCCCCCCCTAAAATATGACGTCACAAAGCTCTGCCCCCCCCCCCGTCCATATTTTCATTTTAAAAATAAAACATGCTTCAAATCGCTTTAAACTATTGTCGTCGTAGTGCGTATTTAATGTCCTGCTGCACCCTGATGTTGTAGGAGTGTTGTTATAACATTTAGAGTTGTTATAACAATTCTATATTTATTTAAAGTTGCGCATTTTGATGTGACGTCACATTTCTCACCCCCCCCCCCTCGTCACACATCGTCACAAATGTCTGACCCCCCCCAGGTGCGTGACGTCATTTATGGACGGCCCCTTACCCTACCCCACTTTTATCCTAACCTCAACCCTTACCGCAACCCCTACCTCTATACTATCACCTCGACCCTTAACCCCAACCTCAACCCTTACCGCAACCCCTAACCTCTACCCCAAACCCACTTTAACCCCTGCTGTAATGTAACCCCCAACTCGACTCATTGTCACATTTTTATTTACAGTGAGTCTCGGTCTAAATGGGAACGCGCATTTAGATTATTTGGATAATTTTGCTGCTATAAATGTCCACGTGATGAGGCCCCTTTGTTGAGTTATCATTTGTGGCAGGTCGCTTCTGAAAAAATTTAACCCGTAAAAACAAAGTTTTTCACTATAAATCCTTTATATGCGTGGCGGCTAGAGTCCTCTCGTCATCTGGCTTGAGATGGCTGCCACCTATGGGTCAGATGATTGCCTGCCACCATTAAGCAATTGGTGATTAAATAAATAAAAATTCCTAAAAAGTGTAAAGTTATGGGAAAAAAATGTCACGAAAATAAATTGTCACGCACAACGAGTCTGTGTGCAAAATGTCAGCTCGATTGGATCACGGGAAGTGGGTTAAAAAAACGACCGAAAGATGTGCACGGTCGTAAGCGCGCAAGCAAGCAAGCAAACTTAATATAAAGGATTTAAAAAGGTGTCTCATTGGACTTTACCTGGTAAGATAATAAAACATTTAGTGTATATATATTTTTAAGCTATTGTATTTGTTTACCTTTCCTATACTTTGCACTACTGCCATGTTTTTGTATTGTTTGTTGTTGTAACGTTCTGACCCGCGCCTACTGGACATCAGTGAAAAAAATTGCTTCATAGCTCATCGGATTCCTCCAGTAGAAATACACATTCCGTTTCTGAGTTGAACACAGTGCTACGACCACCCGGTGTCTTAGCACAAACTCGGGGGTTGTCCGAACAACAACCGAGAAAACCGGTAACCGTTTTCCGAAATCGATTACCGGGGTTTCCAAAAGCAGCCGGTTCCGAGGCACACCATTTACTCGGTTGATAAGCTAAAGGCGCAAGCCCTGCAACTTGCTTGTTCACGTCACTTCTGGTGGAGGGGATCTCCACGAGGAGATATTTGGCCAACTCTTTCCACGCCGGTCAGACGTGTCGGAAGAGTCATAAATAAAGGTTTTTTAAATCCTTTAGATTAAGTTCACTTGCTTGCTTGCTTGCGTGCTTGCTTGCTTACGACCGTGCAAATCTTTCGGTCGTTTTTTAACCCACTTCCCGTGATCCAATCGAGCTGACATTTTGCACACAGACTCGTTGTGCGTGACAATTAATTTTCGTGAATTTTTTTTTCCAGGGAATTTTTAAAAAAATATTTAATTACCAATTGCTTAATGGTGGCAGACAATCATCTGACCCATAGGTGGCAGCCATCTCAAGCCAGAGGACGAGAGGACTCGAGCCGCCACGCATATAAAGGAATTATAGTGAAAAACTTTGTTTTTGCGGGTTACATTTTTTTGGGTTAGATCGCGAAAGTATGAACGTGTCATAACGTTTATACTTACGCGATATAACCAAAAACACCTTTATTATGAATAATATCGGTCGCGAAAGCCTACGCGTGTGTGTTGAAAGAGATTGAAGTACCCACACTTTACCCCACCAGGCGCAACTTCCCGACTGACTTAACCTGTGGTTGTGCCCCTTGAAACTCCTAGGATTTTAGAGGCACACTGTGTGGGGAAGAGATTGAACGGATTCCGAGTGCATGTCCAGTGTGCTAAGCTATTACACAACTGTGGCAGCTATCACTGTTTCTCAGTTAGACGTGTATATGTGTGGAAAATCGGTAACCGGTTTTCACAAGATTTTTTTTTTCATTTGGTTAACGGTATTGCAAAAGAACCCGGTTTTAACAACCCAAGTGCAAACAATTCCTGCTGCCCCGAACACAGATGCCGATTGACGGACTATCCGGGATGATGGTTGAGAGAGTGTATGGTGTTGTTTGTTGGTGGTTGATGGAGGATGATTATGAAAATGATGGAGGAGGTGAGGGTGTAGATGCTGGATGATGGTTCAGACATCATGGCGGTTGATGTTTGAGAGAGGTCCGATGTTTTATTGTTCAGAAGCTAAATGCCCAATGTCGAGGTTTTCGAGTCACGACGAGCAGACTTCAGCACAGAGTTCTTGTAGATGTTCTATTCCTCCATTAAAGGAGCGCAGAATACTTTACAGTGGCATACTATATAGCCCATCGTCTGGGTAGGTTGGCTGTTGCAATGCCCGATCCACAAATACGGAGGAGACATCACAGCGATAAACTCCGCCGTTCCTGACGCTGTTACCTGCAGGCTTGACCACCCGAATGTGAAATTGTAGTCGTTTGCTCTGCATCTATATCAGCAGCCATACGAAATAATAATCAGAATAATAAGAAGACTGCTGCTGGACAATGATGACGACGAGAATTTTTTAGGTGTTCCACACTGCCATTGTTCTCGGAGCTCCCCAGCAAACAGAGAAAGTTGGGTCAATATTGAGACAACGTTGATACAACCACTTGCCAACGTTGGCCGGAAGTTGGCACGTGTACTAGGTCGGTGAGTCGGGCACGAGCATCCAAATCCTTGGCACGGATTCCCTCCCATGTCCTCATCACGCTGGCTCCGAGACGAAGTGTCTCATCCAGGATGCAGGATGGGGCTCGTCTAATCGCCTAATGGCCCACGCAGTGAGAACCGGTAGCTGGGGATTGAGTTGAGGTTGTTCTCACCACCACCACCACCACCATAAGTCTATAATCACTGGGCCAGGAGGGTGTAATGTGGGGGAGCGCTACGGACCCGGTAACCCGAGTTCGATTCCTGCTCACAGCCAACACCAGTGACCGTTGTCTGAACCGGTCCTGAGGCCTCCCCTAGGTCGACTCAGACTCAAAATGAGTACCTAGTGTGATGTGTAAACATCACCACTGGGGAGACAAAGGCGGTCGGGCGTGGTGCTGACCACCCACACCCCCTCGTGTGCCGTATCGGCCTTCATAGGTGCTACTCACTAACAGCACTTGTCCCTACAGTCTGTTAAGGTTACACGGGGTCTTTGTCTTTGTAGTATCGGGGTTACCGATACGAACCCGGCGACCCGAGTTCGATTCCCGCTCACGGAAAAACCAGTGACGATTATCTGAACCGGTTATGGGCCTCCCCTAGGTCGACTCAGCCTCAAACGAGTAGGTGGTGCGGTGTGTAAAACATCGCCACTGGGGAGACAAAGGCGGCCGAGGGTGGTACTACAGGCCACCCACCACCGCGTGTGCCTTTGCCAACGTTACTAGGTGTTATCTAACAGCACAAGGGTATCTTAAAGGCTACTGTGAGGGATCGTTACTTTGTAATGTATTCACCAATTCGTCTTCTCAGTCAAACGTCTCAATATTGCGTGGGGTCGGCTGCTTGGATCGCCTTTCTCCCCTCGTTGTACAGAAACAAAATGTACAGGATGTCGCAAAAACATGATTTACAGACGAGGTAACGAATCCGACATACGTTCCATGAAATTCGCAGTTACAGAATGTTGAATCTCTAAGTTATATTGCTTTTTGTTGGGGGTGGGTGGAGGGGTGTGGAAATCAATGGAACAATGCACGATCATTCTGTCGTTTGTCAAAGCGTGCGTAACAATGCTTCGCCGCATTCTCTCGAGAGTGACGTTTACGTGCGTAATCTGTGCGTGTATGATACCCAAAGAATGTTTAGTGGGAGCACGTCTGTCGAGGAGACGGAGCGGCGGATTTTTTGTTTTACATCACAGGATCCTGAGAGATGGCGACGCATTCGGGGGTTGGAGCCTTTCATCCAGCAGTGGTTTGATCATGGCTGGCGATGATATTTCTTTCATCCGATATCTACTGCAAACGCCCTCTCTCTCTCTTCCCCTGGTCCCCCCCACGTCTGTTGCGCCCGATGCCAAAATCTGTGCGTGTGCAGCACATGCGGCAGCCCCCCACCCCCCACCGTTACATAACGAGTACGGCCGTGCCCCCCCCCAACTCATCCGAAGTGGAACGCAGTCGAGAGGGAAGTCAGCAGCTCCGCGTGGTGGTGATCGACACTGAAGAAACTGGGGGGCCGCATTGACTCAGTGGGGGGCTTTAAGGCGCCACAGTCCCCGGAGCCTCTGATTTTCAGTGGAACGTCAAACAAATGTGCACCCAGAAACTGCGTTATAATGTTTGAAATTTCAACACTGGAGCACTCCGACAGAGCACATGGTGCCGATTGGTAATTCAGAGCCCTGGTGTGAGTTCACCTCGATTTAGATTTGCAGCTTCGGGTATGGAATTGAATACAAAAAACTGCAATTCAAACAAGCGGGATGAGTAACAATGGATGCGTTTGGCATCATTGGGGCATTGATGGTGGTAACTTAGTCGAGAGGACGGCATTAAATAGAGAGGAAGTCTGTGAAAAGAGCTTTATATCCCATCGGATTCATATTCCGATTATCATTATGGGTCCTCCCAAAACTTTAACAACTCTTGGCCGCCCATTAAAATTTAATCCGGCCTTGGAAGACAAAATCACAGCCGTTCCTTCATCCACGCCCCTTCACCGCAGAACAATGAGGTCACACACCCCTCTATAAGAGACGACGTGGCACCACCAACGGCCGCAGCCTCCATACCTGTGTGAGCCCCCCCTCACCTGTGTGAGCCCCCCCTCACCTGTGAGTCTCCCCCTTACCTGTGTGAGCCCCCCCTCACCTGTGTGAGTCTCCCCCTCACCTGTGTGAGCCCCCCCTCACCTGTGTGAGCCCCCCCTCACCTGTGAGTCTCCCCCTTACCTGTGTGAGCCCCCCCTCACCTGTGTGAGTCTCCCCCTCACCTGTGTGAGTCTCCCCCTCACCCGTGTGAGTCCCCCCCTCACCTGTGTGAGTCTCCCCCTCACCTGTGTGAGCCCCCCCTCACCTGTGTGAGTCTCCCCCTCACCTGTGTGAGCCTCCCCTCACCTGTGTGAGTCTCCCCCTCACCTGTGTGAGCCCCCCTCACCTGTGAGTCCCCCCCTTACCTGTGTGAGCCCCCCCTCACCTGTGTGAGTCTCCCCCTCACCTGTGTGAGTCTCCCCCTCACCTGTGTGAGCCCCCCCTTACCTGTGTGAGTCTCCCCCTCACCTGTGAGTCTCCCCCTTACCTGTGTGAGTCTCCCCCTCACTTGTGAGTCTCCCCCTCACCTGTGTGAGTCTCCCACTCACCTGTGTGAGTCTCCCACTCACCTGTGTGAGCCCCCCCTCACCTGTGTGAGTCTCCCACTCACCTGTGTGAGCCCCCCTCACCTGTGTGAGTCTCCCCCTCACCTGTGTGAGTCTCCCCCTCACCTGTGTGAGTCTCCCCCTCACCTGTGAGTCTCCCCCTTACCTGTGTGAGTCTCCCACTCACCTGTGTGAGCCCCCCCTCACCTGTGAGTCTCCCACTCACCTGTGTGAGCCCCCCCTCACCTGTGTGAGTCTCCCCCTTACCTGTGTGAGTCTCCCCCTCACCTGTGAGTCTCCCCCTCACCTGTGTGAGTCTCCCCCTCACCTGTGTGAGTCTCCCACTCACCTGTGTGAGTTTCCCCCTCACCTGTGTGAGCCCTCCCTCACCTGTGTGTCTCCCACTCACCTGTGAGTCTCCCACTCACCTGTGTGAGTCTCCCCCTCACCTGTGTGAGCCCCCCCTCACCTGTGTGAGTCTCCCCCTCACCTGTGAGTCTCCCCCTCACCTGTGTGAGTCTCCCACTCACCTGTGTGAGTCCCCCCTCTCACTTATGTGAGTCTCCCCCTCACCTGTGTGCGCCCCCCCTCACCTGTGAGTCTCCCCCTCACCTGTGTGAGTCTCCCACTCACCTGTGTGAGCCCCCCCTCTCACCTATGTGAGTCTCCCCCTCACCTGTGTGAGCCCCCCCTCACCTGTGTGAGTCTCCCCCTTACCTGTGTGAGTCTCCCCCTTACCTGTGTGAGTCTCCCCCTTACCTGTGTGAGTCTCCCTCTCACCTGTGTGAGTCTCCCCCTCACCTGTGTGAGTCTCCCCCTCACCTGTGTGAGTCTCCCACTCACCTGTGTGAGTCTTCCCCCGCCCCCGTGTGAAACTCTAACCCACTGGGATTTTTGCACACAGCGTTGGTGCACGGTGTTTTTCCTGCAATATTTTGCTGTCTTTTCTTGGATTTTCTGTTTGCACTCAGTCACATATTCACTTGAAGATGTTTTTTTTTTGCTCATGTTTTTGTTTTGTTGCGGTTGCACCCGATTCAAGAGCCGAATGGCTCACAGGGCTATACCTAATAAATGGACTTGAACTTGAACCCCTGCTGCCTGCCCCCCCGCCAGATTCCTCACGGCGTTGTGAAGATGGTGGAGGCGTTGTGCGGCACGTGGAAGCTGGTGGACAGCAAAAACTTCGACGAGTACCTGAAGGAGCTGGGTACGTTTGAGCACACTGCATTATTTTCGTTACCGACACAACTCGTTGACTGGAGTGGAGTGAAAAGCAAAACGTAGATTTACGCATCATTTATAGCAACATTCACGAACACATCCTCTGAATTAAAATGTAATTCAACTCCCAGATAATATTCTGGGTGGCTGGTAGACTGGAGTAGGTTGATAGGAGACTCGCAGCTGTAGCCATAGCGAGGGGCATACTGGACGTGGTGTGCCGGGTTTGGACACATTTTCCGGCAGACCCGGTTGAAATTCAGCACTGGTTGTTTGTTCTCGTTAACAGCGAGAGAGGCATCACGATGTGGCCACACGGCCTCTCTCAAGTACATTACAAGCACAGCTACAAGGCAGGCAGACGACAGCCAGACATCGAGATAGCGAGCCGGGTAGCCAGAAAGACTGCCAGACACTCATTCAGTCAGCCAGCCGACCGAGCAGATTGAAACTTGGCGAGACCGTCAGACAATCATCCGGTCAACCAGCCAGTCAGCCAGCTAGTTCACCGAACAGACAGCTGGCCATACGGGCAGTGAAACTCGCTATCCACCCGTGCATACGAGCCGTCCATCCAACCGTCCAGCAAGTCATCCATCAATAAATCGATCCAGCATCTCCATTCTTTCAAGCCTTTGTTGTTTCCCCCCCCCCCCCCCCCCCCCAGGATTTTTCTGTTGCGCGTAGTCACTTTAAGATGTTTCTTGTTCACGTTTTTGTTTTTGTTGCGGTTGCACCCGAGTCGAGAGCCGCATGGCTCGTAGGGTTATACCTAATAAATGAAATAAATGAAACTGAAAATAAATCCGAGCAGGTATCCCAGCCAGCTCGACAGCCAGGCAGCCAGCCAGTCAGCTATTCAGTGAGACAACAAAGTCAAATATCCCCTGCATAGCCTGTAACTGTTGGGGCAAGCGCTGTTAGCGAGCACCCTCTGAAGGCCGGCACGGCACGCGAGAGGCGCTCCATTGCCGTGCCGTGCCGTGCCACCATCAGCGGATCGGGGACTCTCCCTAACCCGCGTGTGTGCTGCCGTGCAAGGCGTGGGTATGGCCACACGCAAGGCGGGCAGCTTGACCAAGCCCACGGTGACCATCGCCACGTGCGGGGACGGCACCGTCACCGTGAAGACGGCCAGCACCTTCAAGAACACCGAGCTCACCTTCAGGCTGGGCGAGGAGTTCGAGGAGACGACGGCGGATGACAGGAAAGTGAAGGTGAGCCAGAGGTCGCAACCGGGTACCCGATACCCGTACCCTACCCGATACCCGGCTACCCGTACGGGTAGCCGTTTGAGACCCTGGTGCGGCCGGGTACGGGTAAGGAATCAAAACCTGTTTGCGACCTCCGAGGTGAGCTCGGAGCCACGGTGTGTGTGTGGGGAGGGTTGTGTGTGTGTGATGGTGAGCGGTGGTGTCGCGGTTAGCGCGCTGCGCTACGAACCCGGCGATCCGAGTTCGATTCCAGCTCACGGCCAACACCAGTGACGATTATCTGAACCGGTCCTGGGCCTCTCCTAGGTCGACTCAGCGTCAAATGAGTACCTGGTACCGTGTGGAAAAAACATCGCTACTGGGGAGACAAAGGCGGTCGGCGTGGTCCTGGTCACCCACCCCCTCGTGTACCGTCCCGGCCTTCATAGGCGCTCGCTAACAGCACTTGCCCCAACAGTCTGTGAAGGTTATACAGGAGATAGTTGTCTTTGTGTGTGCGGCATGGGCTATGTGTGTGATGTAGATGCTGTATGTTATTGGTTACGTGGTGTGTGCATTCGTGGTGTGTATCGTGCCGATTGCTCTCTGGTAAGTATGCTTTGTGGTGTGAATGCTGCACGGTGTGTGTGCTACACGGTGTGTGAACGCTGGATGATGTGTGTGTGCGCTGCATGGTGTGTGTGCGTGTGAACGCTGCATGATGTGTGATGCATTATGTGTGTGATGCATGGTGTGTGTGTGATGCATGGTGTGTGTGTGTGATGCATGGTGTGTGTGCTGCATGGTGTGTGTGTGTGCGTGTGAACACTGCATGATGTGTGATGCATGGTGTGTGTGTGATGCATGGTGTGTGCGCGTGTGAACGCTGCATGATGTGTGATGCATTGTGTGATGCATGGTGTGTGTGGTATGTGTGCATGTGAACGCTGCATGATGTGTGATGCATGGTGTGTGTGATGTATGGTGTGTGTGTGCTGCATGGCGTGTGAACGCTGCATGATGTGTGATGCATGGTGTGTGTGCGCGTGTGAACGCTGCATGATGTGTGATGCATTGTGTGTGTGATGCATGGTGTGTGTGTGATGCATGGTGTGTGTGCGTGTGAACGCTGTATGATGTGTGATGCATTGTGTGTGTGCTGCATGATGTGTGTGTGATGCATGTTGTGTGTGCATGTGAACGTTGGATGATGTGTGCGTGTGAACGCTGCATGATGTGTGATGCATGGTGTGTGTGTGCTGCATGGTGTGTGTGCGTGTGAACGCTGCATGATGTGTGATGCATGGCGTGTGTGTGATGCATGGTGTGTGTGTGCTGCATGGTGTGTGTGCTGCATGGGGTGTGCGCGTGTGAACGCTGCACGATGTGTGATGCATTGTGTGTGTGTGATGCATGGTGTGTGTGTGATGCATGGCGTGTGTGTGATGCATGGTGTGTGTGATGCATGGTGTGTGTGTGCTGCATGGTGTGTGTGCTGCATGGGGTGTGCGCGTGTGAACGCTGCACGATGTGTGATGCATTGTGTGTGTGTGATGCATGGTGTGTGTGATGCATTGTGTGTGTGATGCATGGTGTGTGTGTGTGTGATGCATTGTGTGTGCTGTGCCCTGGTGCCCACAGAGCACAGTGACGCAGGAAGGAGGGCGGTTTGTCCACGTGCAGCGCTGGGACGGCCGGGAGACACAACTCATCCGGGAGCTGCAGGGCGATCAGATGATCATGGTAACGAGTCAAATCGTCGTCGTCGTCATCATCATCCACGAACCGTCAATTATCTCGACCGAGAATCAACCCCCCGGTGTATGATTCATAAGTTATTTTTTTGGGTCGGATCGCGTGAGTGCTAATGTTGTGTCGTTAAGCCCTTCTCCACCCGACGCAGGCAGTAACATAAATCTGTGGCGTGAACAAACGCGTCCACTGTTGACTGCTTTGGTAAACCGGTCCGCTGAAGGGCGATCCACAACATTCAACCGTTCACAGCATGGGACCTAACTGTTAAATAATAATAATGTTAACTTGCAACGCACAGTAGTCACTCGCTCCTCCAAGAGTGAGAACGGAGGCGCGAGGAGGAACCACAGACGCGGTGAGCCCGCGCGAACACATTCCAAAGCTCTGCGGTCCCCTATGTATTCGGGTGTTATTGGGCAATACATGTGGGAGGAAACCGGAGCACCCGGAGGAAGCCCACGCGTGCGAGGGGGAAACACTCTATCCCACGAAGATGGAGGCCACATTATTGTTGTACCACATTCTCCTGGTGGGGGGGGATCAGGGTATGGGACCTCCTTGACGGGAAGTTGGTTTCACAACATTTGTGCAGTGACCCATCAACCCTCGCCGCCTCCACTGTGCTGGATGTGTGGATTACTTTTCAGCATGCCGCTGTGCCGAAGCAACAGTTGGCGTGCTTTATGCTCACGTGACAACTTTATTTGGCTACGATGGATGGAGGAGGGTGCCCGACACGACGTTGGCATTGTAGTCGCGTGACAAAAATCAACTGTGAATAATAACAGGAGGTCGTTGGTTCGATCCCGACCCTGACGCCTGCTGCTGTATATTTCGAGCTTGCGTGTCTCTCTCACCCGTCGTCGCGTGGATTTTTCTCTTGAGTTTTCCCCTCCACATTTGGAAGCTCGCGTTTCGACTATTTGGCCGTGAGAAATTGCCACGTGATAAGCCACACCCTTGAGCTATCATATGTGGCCAGGTCGCTTCTCAAAAACAAATCTACGTAGCTACGTGGGCCTCACCTGGTAAAATAAAGAAATAAAGAATACAGGATGTCCCGTGAGTCTGGATTCATAGGAAAGATCCCACTCTGTGTTATTGGCTGGATGCGGTCTGTTAAATTCAACAGCGACCTCCCTCTGACTCCGATTTCTTACGAGTAGAATGATCTGGACTCGTTCTTCCTAACTACTCAAGAGACATCTTGGGCCTGCAGAAACACAACAACATTAATTTGTTATTTCCCCAGATGATTCCAGACTCATGGTTCCACGCTGTAGTTTAGTTTTAGTTTGTTTTCTGGAAACAGGAGTCGAGCACCCCGTTGTTTTACTGCCCCCCCCCCCCCCCCCACCTCTCTCCAGACGTGCCGGGCAGGAGACGTCGTGAGCACGCGGACGTACCAGAGGGCGTGACGGCCCTCCCCCGGTACCAGGGCCACTACCATCCTCACGGCCACGTCCCCGTCAAGACCACCGTCACTGGGCCACATGCACTACATTCCTCTCGACCTCTCGACCTCTCGACACCCTAACCCACAATCACCGCAGGGGGGGGTTGACGTCTCAGAAGTTGAGAACCTCCGGGGTTTTTGTCTTCTCATTCCCCCTGTGAAACGCCGACCGCGATCGCCATTAAAAACCCTTCACGAACAAAAGAAACCGTTGAGTGGCTCGCTCGCACTTTTATATCCGCAAAAGCCGCTCCGTCCGACCCCCCGCCCCCCCACACACAGCAGTGCCAGCCGCGCGGTTACGAGGCCCTCCGACCGATCGGACGCACGCGACGGTGTTCACGCGTCCGCGAGGTCGGTCCGTGACAACCCGAAAGCGGCGGTGGGGAGATCGGAGGGGATGGGTGCGTGGCGGGGGTAGAGGGGGGGGGGGGGTTCAGAATCGGCTTCCGCCACCCGGAGCGCTCAGGTTCGATCCCCGCACGGAGCCCGCTGGTCAGCCTCCCCCCCTCCTCCTCTTCGTTCCCTCGTTCGCCTCGCCCTCTTGCCGCTCGCCCCCCCTGTTGTTGTCGCTCTCCTTCTTCTTCTTCTTCTTGCCCCCCGAGTCGAGTTCCTCGCCCTTGCCCTGTTTTTCGCCCTTGACCCCTGACCCCGCCGCCGCTGCCTCGTTCTTCTTCCCGGTGCCCTTGGCCGCGTCCGCTTTCTGTGCCGCGGCGTTCGTCGTCTTCTTCGTCTTCTTTGTCTTCTTCCCCGACTCGTGCTCGTCCTTGGCGGAGGCGGCGGCGGCGGCGAACGCGGCGGCCTCTGTGCGTGCCAGCGGACGCAAAGACAACAACACATCAAGCAAACGCTCTCTAGCCGACAAGAGCGGGGGATGGCTGCCAGGGCGGTGCCCACGGAACGTCAGTGGGGCTTGCGATCCGGAGGTTTACCGGTTCGATTCCCTCTCCCGCCCAGAGATGGTTGGAACAAATGGGGGAAGTTTTCTCAAATTCACCCCCAAACCACCCCCCACCCCTATCGCCACCGCCACCACCACCACCGCCACCACCGCCACCGCCACCACCGCCCAACCAGCAGAATCGATGGGAGCACCACCAGCAGCAGGTCGCGTGTGGTGAGGTAAAGTGTGGGCACTCAAATCTCTCCCGAGACGTCGGGCCAGTGCGGTGGGGAAGGCCAAGCACCTTGCTGGAGGGGCTCCTAAAAATTACCCTTTGGTGGAGGTCCTTCCAGCAGCAGTGGCGGGAGCAAGCGGTTGCTGGGACGCACCTTTAGCTTTTTACCGACAGCCATGGTTCCCTTAATCCGGAGTCAGGGTTTCTCAAGACGTTGTTCCCGCGCGATCCACCACGGCGCCTCGCATCAGGTCTACCAATGTTTTACATTTAAATGCAAATCGTCGATGCACGCTGCAAGCGGCCGAATCGCAACACTGCCCCAGGTACTCGTTTAAGGCTGAGCCGACCTAGGGGGAGGCCCAGGACCGGTTCATATAATCGTCACCAGTGTTGGCCCTGAGCGGGAATCGAACTCGGGTCACCGGGTTCGTAGCGCAGCGCGCTAACCACTACGCCACCGTTCCCCTTTGCGCGCATGCATGTGCGCGCACATCTCAGTGCGTCTAGACCGCTGGCACAAGTGCTGCGGTGACATCACCACCACTTAGTGGCGAAACACAGCAGCAGCTGCTGTTGTTGTGATTGTCGCCTTTGCCGTGTGCATGAGCCGTGACTGAGAGAGCACCGATCCAAATGAAGGTCGACGCGTCCACGTGTGTTTCCACGCGATGTACACAGCTCCAAATACAAACATCGCACGTGTGGCCTGTTCGTGTTCGAGTTGGAGGAGATCGGTGAGCGTGCAAGGGAGACGCGCCCGTGTCGGGTTGCTAGAACCGACCGGGACATCACAAACCCGAACCCATCCCATGAGACATTAGGGGGCCTCTCGTCCTCACGCCCAGTCCCATACTATAAAAAAAATACAACTATTTTCTATTTTAGCAGGTAAGGGCTCACTGAGCTATGCAGTTGTTTTATTTGCTTTCAGGAGCGACCTGGCTATCACAAACGATAGCCTCAACGAAGATGCTTATCATCATGTGGACATCTATAGAAGCCAAGTACTCAAAACGCGTGCTGTTGATTCTAAATGTGGAGGGGGAAAAACCGGAGGACCCGGAGAAAAATCCACGCGACCACGGAGAGAGAGACACGCAAACTACAAATGTATCGCAGGTGTCTGGATCGGGATCGAACCCACGAACTCCTGCATACCAGGCGAGGTAGTTAACATCTCGCCACCGTGGCGAAATGTTACTGTGGCCTGTGTCCCCCCCTCCCCCCACCACTGCCCCTCCCCCCCCGAATTCTCGGCCCCAGTGCTGCGTGGGCGTCGATGGTGTCACCTCTCAGGGAGGCCGTCTCCTCGTCCAGGCCATCGTTCTCCTCGTCCGGTTCCAACGCCTGGCCTAGAGGGAGCGAAACAACTTCACTCGTCATCATCAACAAACACGCTTCACTCTTCATCATCATCATCATTATCAAGAAACACGCGTCACTGTTTATCATCGTCATCATCATAATCAAGAAACACGCTTCACTGTTTATCATCATCATAATCAAGAAACACGCTTCACTCGAACCCGGGTCGCCAGGTTCATAGCGCAGCGCGCTAACCACTACACTACCGCTCACACGTACACACACACGTACACACACGTACACACACACCTACGTACACACACGTACACGCACACACGTACACAGCTGCTGCTGCCGCTGCTGCGTTGGCAGTGGTGCTCAAGCAATGCAGTAAAATCGAACGAATATTCGCCAACAGCACCGTGGCCTCAGAAGGAAAAACAAATGTGCATTAGTCGACGCTTCTGGCAATTGGCCCTTTATCTTCAGGGCAACGTGTGGCGGGCATGCACGCGTGCCATGAAGTGGAAAGTGTCGAGTTTGTCTACCGCGGTGAGTAGGTCGTTCGTGGCTGTGGACGATGATGGCAATCTTCTTGGTTCTTTCGGTAAAGTCACGTAGAATAGAAATAATAAAACGTCGTGAGAATTGTATTTTATTATGTTTTATTTTTATTATTTTATTATTTCTCTTCTACGTGACTTTACCGAAAGAACCAAGAAGATGATTCCCTGCAGTCACGAAAGCTTTAAATTGAGATGATGGCGATGATGACGACGACGACGACGAAAAACGTCCCCCTGCTTTCATTCGAATAAGTTTCATAACTTAGCATCCCAAAACAGACACGGTCACCTTGCACCGCTCCCTCTGGCGTCGTTGGCTGTGACGTTAACCCGGCGAGACGACCATCGCAGTCTCAAGGGGAGGCCGCCCCCCCACGACCTGGACAACAATCACCGGCGACAGATATTGCCGAGCCAGCGTCGCAGCAAGCGGCATTTAGAACGGCGTCGTTCCGCAGAGCCAGCAAGCAACGCGTGGATCATGCGCGCCGCGTTCGTGATGGACTGGACTCTTATTTTAGCGCGCGCGCGTGCGTGTGTTCAGACCAAGGCCGTAGCATGGAGTCAACATTGGGGGGGACGAAATTTTCCAGGCGGTCTGGGGGTCGCCCCCCAGAAACAAATCTAATTTTGAAAACGAATTTCCTACCATTTCCTGCCTAAAATGTAAAAAAATTCACTAACACATAGGATGGATTTTTTGTTACAATAATGTCTAATAGTGCATTGTATTACATTGCTGTTTTTTTTTTACCTTTTCTTGTTTCATTGTATGTAATGGCAGAGATTAGGGATTAATAAAGTACAACCATAACCACAATCATATCAACAGATATCTATTTTATAGCTATATATTGGGGGGGAGGGACTTTTTGAGCTTATTTGAATATTGGGGGGGGGGGGGGTGTGTCCACCCTCCTAATATATATTATAATTACGGCCTTGGTTCAGACTTACTGATCAGGAACGTGTTGTTTTACCAGCTCGCGTCCCCATTACAGCCGCCTGCGATTAGATCGGAACGCGCGTTCACAGTGCGGCGTACTCCAACCGTGGGCTTCATTAGCCGCGTCCAAAAATTGCAATCATTCGATGAGATTTAGAGGAGGATGCGTGCACTTTAATTCTGTTCGAGAGTGGGATAAGCGTGTTTTAGCAGGACGCGTTCATAATCGCACCCATCCAATTGGGGCTTCTTTTTTCAACGTGTTTGTTTTTCGCACTGGCTTTCAAAGCGATTAACAAGTATAACCCGTAAAAACAAAGTTTTTCACTATAAATCCTTTATATGCGTGGCGGCTAGAGTCCTCTCGTCCTCTGGCTTGAGATGGCTGCCACCTATGGGTCAGATGATTGCATTGCACCATTAAGCAATTGGTAATTAAATATAATATTTTTGTCCTAAAAAGTGTAAAATTTTGGAAAAAAAATTTCACGAACATTAATTTTCACGCACAACGAGTCTGTGTGGAAAATGTCAGCTCGATTGGATCACAAGAAGTGGGTTAAAAAACGACCGAAAGATTTGCACGGTCGTAAGCAAGCAAGATAACTTAATATAAAGGATTTAAAAAGAGGACACTTGGTCAAGAAAAGCACGTGACTCAGACACCAGGGTGCCGATCACAACCTCGCTCACTTGATCTGCATTCGCTCATCATCGTGGTCGTCATCGCCAGCAGCAGGTGACAGTGACTGACCACGCTGGCCTGGACTGGCTGAGACGCCCCACACCGAGTGGCTATTTTCGGGATGTCTAATGATGCGGCTTGCTACACTCCGGTGGTTGATTGCAAAGTCAAAACTGGAATCCACCGCTAATTTACTCCAGATATGCCACGGAACAAAATAAAAAAAAAACGACTTCCTACTCATACTCTTAGGTTTTTAGGTAAAGTCACGTAGGTAAAAAATAAAAAATTATAGAAATAAAATAATAAATCTATTTCTATTATTATTTATATTATTTTTTATTTTTTTTACCTACGTGACTTTACCGAAAAACATAAGAGTATGAATCCTTGCAGTCACGAAAGCTTCAAATCTAGACTTCCTACTCAGCGAAGTCGAAACTGGAATCCACCGCTCATTTTCTCCAGATATGCCACGAAAGAAAATAAAAAAAAACGACTTCCGACTCAGCGAGCTATTAAATAAATAACAATAATTTACAACCCCTTTGGTCAATCCACTGCTGGATGAAGGCCTCCCCAGACGATATAGGATGTGGGGGCAGCTTTACCAAATCCTTAAAGCGAAAAAACCTCTCCAAACGAACCTCGCATTTGTGAGACGTCGCTTAATGGAGCTGTCACCAGTGGACAATTTGACTCGTAATTATTTCAACTTGTGACCCGAATCTGCCGCCGCCGCTGCACAGTATTCGTCTACTCGCTCTCGAGGAGAGAGGACGACTCAAAGGCTCCAGGAGGAATCACGGACGAGCGGGAAGGCAGGCAGCCATGCGGGGAGCCGGCGCTTCCAACAATTATCCATTGCAGTCCTCTATATGTTCATGTGTGATAATTGGTTTTTTACCCTTCTATCTGGCAACAAAACTGACACCTTTTTTACAAGGAGTCATGTTTGCATAGACCACAATACCTGCAGTCATAATGCAAACAAAAACATAACTCTCATAATGTGCACTGTCCTTGGCGTCATCTGGTCCAACCCATGTGAGACTAGGCTCTAAGGAAAGCTGTCTCGGGTGTGGACCAATCAACTTCAAGGACCGTGCATACATTATCAGAGTTATGTTTTTTGTTTGCATTACGACTGCAGGTATTGCGGTCTATGCAAACATGACTCCTTGTAAAAAAGGTGTCAGTTTTGTTGCCAGATAGAAGGGTAAAAAAACAATTATCATATTTTTCACTGGCAAATGAGGTTCCAATGATGTTCATCTGTGTTTTCATTCAATGAATGAGTGTTTATACACATGGGAGGGAACTGGAGCAATGGCGAAAATCCACGCGTGCGAGGGGGCAACACTCTATCCCACACACAAGGGACGGATGGAGGAATCGCCTGTACGTTGCTGTACCGCCTTCTCCTGGAAAGCCAGAGTTTGGCAACATTCGTGCGGCGATACACCAAACCTCACTGCTCCCGCAGCGCTAGGATTATAGGCGTGCGCCACTACCGTAACCCAACTCAGGATTCTTAATACCTATACCTTCTATCGTTCCACTTAGGCAACTGACCAAATGATAAACATAGTCAACTGATACGGGACCCTGAAGTACAAACCTGGGATCACTGCTAAATCTGGATCATGTCATCATCCCAGAGAGTCCGTTCGGTTTGTCACGGGGTTGGCACCACCGTGTCGGAGTTGTCTGACGATACTTTACCGCGTTGGTTCGTGAGGGTTGGCGAGCTGGGGGCCACGGATGTTAGCTGTGGCCTGGAATGGAACTTGGGTCAGCCGGGTTCACAGTGCACTGCCCTGTTCATTGCGTTATGACCTGGTTATTGATAAAGGATCTACCCCCATATGATGACACACACACACACCTGAAACAAGGGCAAGTAATGGTCATCTATCACCACCAGCACTGTCACCATCTCCACGAGCACGAACGATACCACCAACTCCATCACCACCTCCACTATCACCACCACCTTCATTTTCCAGCTCCACCACTTTAAGTTGCAGTGCCACCAACGTCATCACCGCCTCCTCCCGTCACCACCAACATCACGACCGACGTCACAACGCCACCTCCATCCCCAGTGTCCTCGCCATCACCGCGATGTGTGACTGCACGGTTAGGTACTAGTTTTATCCAGGTGTAGAGGTGAAGCTGACGGTAGTACTCTTTGGTTCTTTCGGTAAAGTCACGTAGTTAGACATAAAATAAAAACAAATCATGACGACCGCTTGTGTTGCGATCGAAACGTCGTGATTTGTTTTGATTTTATTTCTAACTACGTGACTTTACCGAAAGAAGCAAAGAGAATGGATTCCTGCAGTCACGAAAGCTTCAAATAAAGACTGAATGTAGTAACTGCCCAGGTAGTGCTCTCGTAGTAGTATCCACGTGGCAGCCAGGTTAGCGACTGGTAGTGCTGCGGTAGTACCCAGCGTGGACCCAGCTAGTGACTGGTAGTGCTATCATGGAACCCAGGTGGGATCCAGTTAGTGACTGGTATTGCCGCGGTAGTTACCCACGTGGTTCCTAGCTAGTGACCGGTAGTGCTATATTAGGACCCAGGTGCGACCCAGGTAGAGATTGGTAGTGCAGCGCTAATACCCAGGTGGGTACCCAGCTAGTGGTGAGTGGTAGTGCTACATTAGTGGCCAGGTGGCCCCCAGCCGGTGAGTGGCAGTGCAGGGGTAGTACCCAGGTACACTTTCAGGTCCACGACGTCGAACATGACGACGGCGACGGCTCCCCAGGTGAGGAGTAGAGCGAACGCGAGCATCCAGGTGGAGGGGGAGTGCAGCAGCGGAGAGGTCTCCACCACCCTGCGCACGACCCTGCGCACGACCTTGCGTCCACCAGAGGTGTCCACCCCCGCGGTGCCGTGCCCGTCCGCCACGGCACCAGCTCCTGATAGCCACCCCCCACCCCATCACACACACACAGGTACAAGGGGATGTGGTAGTGAAGACAGAGATACGTTAGACAGTGCTTAACCTTTACTGCAGCCTTGCACCGCTTTGGCTCTCAATCGTAATGTTTTGGTAAATATAATGTTCATAAATACGTAGAGTTTGATTAGACAAAGTAGTTGTCGTGCCCGTGCTTAATTTGTCTTTCGATTATTTAATAATAAAATATAATCAGACGTGTCTCGCACCCCTAGAAAGGGCAGATGGCATCCCTCGGGGGTACGTGCACCCCGGGTTAAGAACCACGGCGTTCGACACACGCCGCGTTCAATTACACAAAACACATGCGCAGGCAACACGCCTCCTCCTTCCCATATATCTGTACCCCCGCATTGCATTATGGGAATCTTGTGTGGCACATGAGAAATGGACCACTCTTTTAACTATTTCCTTGCGCAGCAAGGGAGTAAAGTGTGGTTCAGTGAATGTCCTGATGTGCTGTGCAGTGCATCAATGCACCTGTGTACAGCAGCATGTGATGACTGAGTTGGGCCTGTAGGGGGGCTAGCAGGGTTATTGATTAACCGGACGTGTACACCGGTCACGTGGTTAATGGCGACTCGGTTGGAAAATGGCTGTGTGTGACACACGTGTTGTTGTTGCATCTTACAGGTAAAGGACCCAAAGGTTGTTTTTGATCGTTACAGAAATGTTCTCGACTTGTTCTAGACTTCAAGCTTGGCTTTGAATTGTTAGTTTGTGATATATTAAATTGGAGGGGTTTTAGTACTGTGCATTGTAAAGGATGACGTACTGTAGTTAATACTTGTGATTCTTAATTTACTAACCCTAATACTGTTTAGTCTATAACCATGCCCATGCACCCAGAGTATGACTACTTGTAATGCTATTGAAAATGGAACACATGCATAGTCGTAAGTGATACAATGGTGACACGTACAGTACGTATATTGTAGACATACAGTACAGGTAATGGGTGTAGGATACAGATATGTCGATGGTATAGATAGACATACAGCTTAGGATTAAAGTAATATTCGAATAGTGAAGTGCAAATGTTATTGTCAAAGACAAAGATGGTTTATCAGTAGTAGAACTGGGTTTAAGAGAAAACTGTTATTCATTAACAGGACGTGTACACCAGTCCCATGGTTAATGGAAACTCGGTTGGAAAATTTCTGTGTCACGTGCCGTTGCATCTCACAGATTAAATCACAATAAATGTGTTTTCTCTCGATTTGGAGCACCTGCCCACGTCCTTCATTTCGAGTGTGCAACACTTGTGAGAACAAGGGACAAGCTACCCAGCAGGCCATTCGTGGTCCCATAATAAACGCCTCGTTCCAAGACGCAAACTTTGCATCTCCTGGATTTGATATTCCTCGAAGACACCGGTTGGCACAACTATTAAACCGCACGATAACATCAACAGGCTGATGCGCACACATACTTCGTGAATGGAAAATTACGGACAAGCCATGCAACTGACATTGTGGACAAGCAACTTGACATTATGGGCAAACCATGCAACTGACATTGTGGACAAACCATGCAACTCAAATTATGAACAAGCCATGCAACTGACATTGTGGACAAACCATGCAACTGACATTGTGGACAAACCATGCAACTGACATTGTGGACAAACCATGCAACTGACATTATGGACAAACCATGCAACTCAAATTATGAACAAGCCATGCAACTGACATTGTGGATAAACCATGCAACTGACATTGTGGACAAACCATGCAACTGACATTGTGGACAAACCATGCAACTCAAATTATGAACAAACCATGCAACTGACATTGTGGACAAACCATGCAACTGACATTGTGGACAAACCATGCAGCTCATATTATGAACAAGCCATGCAACTGACATTGTGGATAAACCATGCAACTGACATTGTGGACAAACCATGCAACTGACATTGTGGACAAACCATGCAACTGACATTGTGGACAAACCATGTAACTCAAATTATGAACAAGCCATGCAACCAAACCATGCAACTGACATTGTGGACAAACCATGCAACTGACATTGTGGACAAACCATGCAACTCAAATTATGAACAAACCATGCAACTGACATTGTGGACAAACCATGCAACTGACATTGTGGACAAACCATGCAGCTCAAATTATCGACAAGCCACAGTAGTAGTGCGACTGTGCCCATGCAACTGAAACTTGTGGATACTCTTGCATATAAGTGAACCACTAAAGTCTGCGCTTTTTCAACAGAGGAGGAGCAGCAAAACCACGCGAACTCGCTCTTTCCCGAAGCCCTCTCGTCGCGGCCAGCAGAACTCGACATTGACATTTAGCTCCTGAAGAACGTACTGCAGTGTCAAAACGCAACAATGGAATTACCACACTTCTTACAGCGTAAGGCTATAACAAAGATAACACGCACTGTGTCACACAGACGAGTGCGATCTGCTGGTGGGGGCGGGGGCGATGTTGTTACGCGTAACAAAAACAAGTGTACTTACTTTAGAGATGTGCCGGCAATTGTTCTAACCTTGCATCCATTTGGACCGTGACGCCAGGTAAGCGTGGACTATCCCTATTCGAATAACGTCACTGCGTAATCATCCAGTGCAGACGGCGCGGCAAGGCGTGTCGAGTCAACAACACCCGCCCGTGTTAGCCAGGGCGGCGGCTGGGCTCGATTGCGTTCGCACGCTCGACCGTTACTCGCCCACCGCCTCGTGGTTTTTCTTTTAATGATCGCCCATGGCATGAGCTTGGTTTGCGTGCAACGTTCTCAGCGGGAAGGGATTAGCTGCCGAGTTGGTGGTGCGAACCTGGCGCAAGAAATTCGCTCGGCCTTGGACACAACGACGGGACGTCTTAGGGATTCATTCAATGAGGGTTAATACGAGAGAGGGAGAGAGAGACTTGGTGAGAATTTCGTAGCAAGAGCCGTAAAACGAACGTTACATATTCGAGCAGGCAGGCTCATGCCAGCACGCTCCCCCATTCGCTCGGAAAGTAGTCCAGCACGGACACTGCACCCTTATCGACATCGCCCAGGATGGATGAACCTCGTTTGCACCAATGTATTCACGTTGCCGCAATGCACCGCTTGCTCCACGGTACCGCGACACTTTATCGGCCCTGGGTGGTGCGAGTGTGTGTGTGTTGTGGGTAAGCCGACAGTGTGGGTCTCCCCCCCCACCTTCCCCCGCGGGATGATCGCACCTTCACCGCGGGATGGGTCCGTCATGGGGCCGGGGCGCAGGATCGCTCCCTGGGAAGACGTCTTCGGTAGCGGAGAGAGAAGAGAGCGTAGAGAGCGCAGAGAGAGAGAGAGGGAGAAAGCGCAGAGAGAGAGCGCAGAGAGAGCACACAGAGATAGAGAGAGCACAGGATTTGAGAGCGCAGAGAGAGAGAGAGCGAGCGACAACCTTGGGAGAGAGAACGAGTGGAGCGTGGAGTGAGAGGCGGCGGGGGGGGGGGCAGCACTTGCAAAAGAGAGAGAGAGGCGAGAGTAGTGAGGAGAGGAGGGGGAGAGTGCACGGAGGGAGAGGAGAGTGGATAAATCGGGAAGGCTGGGAGAGAGAGAACGAGGGGAGCGTGAAGTGAGAGGGCACAGCCCCGGAAAAGAGAGAGCGAGTCGGATAAACACCGGGAATGACGGGGAGAGCGGAGGGGAGAGTCGGGCGAGTTCAAACGAGAGAACGCCGAACAGAGACGGCGAGAAAACGATGGGGAGGGAGGGGGGGGGGGGGAAGAGCGCGAGTCGGGAGAGCGTTGCGGCCAGAGAGAGAGAGAGGAGAGACGGAGAGTGCGGAGGAGAGAGGGGTGACCGTGGGAGAGACTGGCGGAGGAGTTGGGAGTGGGGGGAGGGAGTAGTTTGGTGGAGTGGCCGTGGAGGTGGATGCGGGGTGGAGGAGAGAGGTCGGCGAGAGGTGGAAGGCGACTGTCACCCCTCCACGTCCTCCGCAACGTTTGCTCCCCGCGCCAGGAATAGCCCCCAGAAGGAACCCGACACCCAGGCAGCAGCAGCAGCAGCAGCCGGAGCCCCGAGACGGGGTCCGTGCTGCCCCCTGGGTGGTGGTGGGGGGGGGGGACCCCCCACAGGGGCACGCACAGTGCCCGTTCTGCACCGGGTATATATAGCACACACACAGCACACACACACGTGTATACACACAGCGCACACACACACGTGTATACACACAGCGCGCACACACACACACGTGTATACACACAGCGCACACACACGTGTATACACACAGCACACACACAGTGCACACACACAGCACGCACACACGTGTATACACACACACACACAGCACACACACACGTGTATACACACAGCGCACACGTGTGCTGTGTGTATACACGTGTGTGTGTGTGCTGTGTGTATACAGTCAGGTCGGCTCGGCCTTGAACGTTTACACCTTGTGTGGGTTGTAAGCAACATCAGCGCTGGGGAGACAAAGGCGGCCGGGCGTGGTGTTGACCACACCACCCTCAAGTGTGCCCTGCCCGCCTTCATAGCTGCTATTCGCTAACAGCACTTGCCCCCACAGTCTGTTAAGGCTATAGGGGGATTTTTGTTTTTTAGTATAGTCAGGTCGACTCAGCCTTAAATATCAGGTGCAGTGTGTCAGCAACATCGGCGCCTGGGAGACAAATGTGGCATCGGTGGTGGCCACACCACCTCGCCCATGAGGTGCGCCTTCCCCGCCTTCATTGGGTGCTCGCTAACAGCACTTGCCCTCACAGCCTGGGTGAGCTACACGGTGGATCTTTGCCTCGTGTTTATAGTTCGGGGAGCAGTGGCGCAGTGGTTAGCGCACTGCGCTACCTACCCGGCGGTCACTCGATTCCCGCTCACGGCCGACACCAGTGGCCATTATCTGGGCTTCCCCTGGGTCGACTCAGCCTCAAATGACACTAGTGGCCATTATCTGGGCTTCCCCTGGGTTGACTCAGCCTCAAATGACACCAGTGGCCATTATATGGGCTTCCCCTGGGTCGACTCAGCCTCAAATGACACCAATGGCCATTATCTGGGCTTCCCCTGGGTCGACTCAACCTCAAATGACACCAATGGCCATTATCTGGGCTTCCCCTGGGTCGACTCAGCCTCAAATGAGTACCTGATGGCGATATGTCAAAGACATCGGCACTGGGGACACAAAGGCGGCCGGACGTGGTGATGGCCACACCAACACCACCGACCTCGTGTACTATTCCAACCCTCAACAGGTGCCTCGCGAACAGCACTTGTCCCAATATTGTGTCAAGGCCATATACCAGAGGTCGCAAACGGGTTTTGATTCCTTACCCGTACCCGTACCCGGCCGCACCAGGGTCGCAATCGGATACCCGTACCCTAACCGATACCGGCTACCCGTACCCGGCCGGGTATCGGGTAGGGTACAGGTACCAGATTGCGACCTCTGGGATGAAGCCATGTTGCAGGCGCGGGTGGGTTGATTCTAAGAACTTGAATTGTGAGAAGAGACAAGACGTTGGGAAATGAGTGACAAACGGTTACTCACCAGTGACTCACGGCCTACCCGTACCCGGCCGCACCAGGGTCGCAAACGGCTACCCGTACGGGTAGCCGGGTATCGGGTAGGGTACGGGTATCGGGTACCCGGTTGCGACCTCTGCCATATACCCGGGGGTGGGGGGGGGATCGTTGCCTCTGCGATTCACAGCGCGAGCACTGCCTCGACATCACCAGCAGGTGGCGCGCGAGACGTTCCGTGCGTCCACACACAAAGTGACCTTCTTGCCTATGGGACCTTATTGCCAGTATCAAAATGATGAACAATGTTTTTAAGAAAAGGCTTTTACACCCGCCTGGCAATACAACAGGAGTCGTCTCGATTTAAAGCTTTCGTGACTGCAGGGATTCATCAGAAGACAGAGCCAGTGTCTTCTCGACAGACCTGTTCTCCACCTGAGGACGGCTGCTTGCGTTGTGGCCGAAACGTCGTGAGAATTATTTAATTATGTTTTATTTTTTATTATTTTATTATTTCCATTCTACGTGACTTTACCGAAAGAACCAAGAAGATGAACAGGAGTCGTGTTAAGATGTTCAAACACCAAATAGGTGTCTATTAAATGCCATCAAGTCTGCATTCGCCACGCACTCTTGGAGCAACACATGCAAACAGACATGCTCTGATAATTACAAATGCACTGTCGTTGGAACTGATTGGCCTGCACAAGAGACGGCAGCCGTCTTTATAGCCTCGTCTCGCCAGTGTCAGAGCAGAGAACGCCAACAGGCGAACAGTGGCAAGGCCATAAAGAAGGCCGCCGTCTCGGGTGTAGGCCAATCAATTTCAAAGACAATGCCCATAGATTATTAGGGAATGTTTTTTTTTAGTGTTCTTCTACAAGAGTGTGTGGTGAATGCAGACTTGATGCCTTCTAATAGGCATCTACTCGGTGTTTGAACATCTTAACACCTACATTTAGATTTAAAACTTTCGTGACTGCAGGGATTCATATTCTTGGTTCTTTGGGTAAAGTCACGTAGAAGGGAAATAATAAAGTAAAAAAAATATAAAACAATAAAAATTCTCACGACGTTTCGACTGAAAAAAGTGGCGGGTTTTCCTGTTTTCAGGAAAAATCGCCACTTTTTCAAAATTTATTGTTGTGGATTTCACACCTGATGATGATTGCTTGTGTTGCAGTCGAAACGTCCTGAGAATTTTTATTGTTTTATATTTGTATTATTTCCCTTCTCCGTGACTTTACAGAAAGAACCAAGAATATCTTAACACCTGTTTTAATCCAGAAAGGGTACAGCCTATATTGGTATATTTTTTTAGAATCAATATCCTCTTCCAGGTCATAGATACCTCGAAAATACTTTTCGTAAACGGTGGTCCTTTATTTCACACGGGGTGCTCTTTCCAAACAGCAGCAGTCAACCCAGCGGCGTGTTTTTGTTTGCCGAGCCATGACTCAGCTGATGAGACACCAGAAGGCCGAAACCGGTCCAGAGTTCGCCTACTTGGGGTTACGAATGCCGCCCGGTTAACATTCGGTCTGCAGAGTAAAATATGTCGATGGGCCACAACCGCACGTTGTGTTTGGACGCGGATTTGTGCGCATATTTGCTGTAGCTGTTCAGACCATTGGGGCAAGCGCTCAAGAGTTGTATTTGATCGGTAGACGGATAGAGGCACGGCATAGAGAGACGACGAGTTGATGGGGGTACAATTCGGAACTGGAGATGTATGGATTTGCTGACGACTGGCACGATACCATTGGTATCAAGATCGGCCTTTCTGGAGGAGGGTCGTGGAAGACTGCGCCGATGCAACGACGGCGGGTGGAGGAGCGATGCTCACAACAACGAGCGGAGCGCCGGGCGGGTAAAACAGCCAGGTGGCACAGTGGTAAACACAGGTGGTGCGTCTGTCAATCATCTGAGGCGGTCAACCCATAACATTCGGATCTGTCCCGTGACCTCCTCTGGACCTAGCCTGGCACATCGGTCAACCCATAACTCCTGGGTCCCGTCACCTGCTAGCGAGCCTTCGATCACTTCACGTCAAAGTTTCAAAGTGCACCTAGCCTGGCACAAGCGCTGTGGTGACGGCACTTCCACATTGTGTCGGTGTGGCTGTGTCCGTGTGAACGATGCAGATATTTCCATTATTCATTCCATGATCATGCGTCGTTAATATTCACTTAATCGATCAATCATCGTCATCGTCATTCACACCACCGTCCCATAATTCAGATCTTAATGGGCAGGCCATCATCATCCATTAAAAGTATTTATTTCATCGATCATCATTATTCATATTTCATCCAGAATTATCATCACCATCGTTAATAACTATATATATTTTGATATCGTTCATTACTATAATTGTCATTCATAGTTAACATATTTAACCATTTTCGTTATCATTATTCACATTTCTCGAAAGACGTCATAATTGTCATACTAATTTACATCTCAATACGTTCCCCTTCACCAATCACGCTCATCATCACTACCATCACGCTCATCACCATCACGCTCACCATCATCACCACCACCACGCGTCTCGCCTAAGGCGGGAGGGGAGGTGAGGGGAATGTGGTAATGGGAGACGGGGGTGTGGAGGCAGCGTGAGGAGATGCGGGGAACTGACGGGTGGTATGAAGGGAGAGGGGGTTGAGTGGGAGGCTGGGAGGGAGACCAGTCGCGCTGGGTGGGATGCAGAGTATGCGGAGACGAGAGAAGAGGCTGGGTGGGAGGAAGGGAGACCCGATAGGGTGGGAAGGAAGGGAGGGGGAGAGAAACGGTGCTGGGTGGGAAAGCAGGGGGTGGTTAGTGGGGATGGGAGGATGGGTGGTTGGTAGGGAAGGAGATGTTGGTAGGCGGTAGGGGTGGGTGGGAGGCAGGGATGGGACGATGGGTGGGAGGATGGGTGGTTGGTAGGGATGGGAGGATGGGGTGGTTGGTAGGGACGGAAAGATTGGTGGGCGGTAGGGGTGGGCGGTAGGGTTGGGAGGGAGGGAGGTAGGGGGTGGGTGGGGGGTGTGGGAGGATGGGTGGGAGGCGAGGAGGAGGAGGAGGCGGGTCTCGCGCGTCTCGGCGATGCGCGGCCCGTGGGCCGGGTCGCGTCGCTGCTGGATGGAGGCACCCACTGCACCAAGATGCCCGCGTCGCTGTCTCGGCTGAGCGATCCGCGGTTAAACCCGGAATCAGGGGATCAATAACAACAATAACAACAGCGTCCTCGTCAACATTCACGACAAACAACGACGACGAGCACGAGGGAGAAGTGGAGGAGGAGGAGGAGGAGAGAATCTCAGCGGTGCCGGGAGAGAGAACGAGGAGAGTGAACGAGGAGGGAGGAGGAGAGATCATGGCGAGGTGCAGCGGTCGCTGTTCTCTGCTGTTCGTGTGCGCCGTGCAGCTGGTGAGTGAGTGGCTGAGGGAGTGGGTGGATGAATGGATGAGTTGGTGAGTGGGTGGATGTAAGGGTGAGTGAGTGGGTCGGTGAGTGGCTAGATGAATGGATAAGTGGGTGAGTGTGCGGGTGAGGGAGTGGGTGGATGAATGGATGAGTTGGTGAGTGGGTTGGATGTATGGGTGAGTGAGTGGGTCGGTGAGTGGCTAGATGAATGGATGAGTGAATGGGTTGGTGAATGGATAAGTGGGTGGGTAAGTGAGTGGGTGGGTAGATGAATGGATGAGTGAATGGGTTGATGAATTGGTGAGTGGGTGATGAGGCCTGGTTACCTCGGGGTGACTCGGGATGTCCTGGCCATACTCGGATCGCTGAATGACTTAGGCTCACTATGGCATGGCTAGGTGGCTGGAGTGGTGGTGACTGGATTGAGAGCGTGACTAGGATGCCTGCTGGATGACTGTGATGGCTGGGTGAGATAGCTGGGTGACGAGAGCGGTTTGGTTTGGATTATGGGGACGATGATGACTGATGGCTGGGTGACAGCCGGGTGACTGGGATGACCGCGTTACTCAAATGTCTGGGTGACTTCGAGATGGTGACTGATATAGCCGAGTGGCTGGGCGAAATAGATCGGTGACTCGAGTGAGTGGGATGACTGGGTGACAAACGTGGGTGACACAAACGTGGGTCACTGGCTCACTGCGATAGCTGGTTGAACTAAGGTGACCGGTTCACCAGGATGACGGGTATGGCTGAGTTGAGACATCTGTGTGACTCGGGTGTGATCGGGTGGTTGGATCGATTACCTAGGGTGACTGCAATGTCCGGGGGTGACTTGTTCACGCCGCCACTCCACGAATCGTGCTCGCGTTGATGCGACACGCGGAGACGGAGCCCGCGTTCCACGTTGCGTCCGACTGCCCAGAGTCACACAGATGTCTCGTGTGAAGCGCGTGACACGTTGTATGAGGATGCCGTGTGCGTGCGGAGCGGTGGCGCAGCGGTTAGCACGCTGCGTTAGAGAACCCGGCCACGGTGCCGCTCACGGACACCGACACCACCAGTGGCGATTGTCTTGAACAGGTCCTGGGCCCCCCACCTAGGTCGACTCGGCCTCAAATGAGTACCCGATACGGTGTGTAAACATCGCCACTGGGGAGAGAGAGGCAGTCGACCCATCCCCCCGTCGTGTGCCTTACCGGCCTTTATAGGTGCTCGCTAACAGCACTTACCCCGACAGTCTGTTGAGGCTACATGGGGGGACCTTTGTGATGATGTGATGTCCAACTCTCCAAGAAGGGGGCCTGATTGACGAATCAATATCGTCATCAGCAGCAGCATCAGCATCAGCAGCGGTGATGCGATCACCCCATGCCTCACTCCTGCCACCGGGTCTTTGTCCTATATTCAGTGGCGTCACCACCACCACCACCTCCTCTCTCTCCCTCCCTCATTGGGAAGCTGCCACAGTTGGTGGAATGGTTGTCAATACGAGGCTTGCGATACAGAGGCTCGCCGGTGAGATTCGAGCGCACGGCACAGCAGTTGAATCAATGAATGATGGTTGTTGCGAGCTTTTTAAATCCTCCCGGCTCATCACCGCCTCTGTTCACCCCCACCCCAAACCCAACCCAGCAGTGCGAATGGTATACACACACACACAGTTACATCGATCGGTACCTTGCGTGTGGGTGAAATGTGGCTACTGTCCTCTCATTTCTTTCAAGACGTACTGGCAAGCGTGCAAGAGCCGGGCTGAATACCCCTCTAGCAGAGGTCGCAAACGGGTTTTGATTCCTTACCCGTACCCGGCCGCACCAGGGTCGCAAACGGGTAGCCGGGTATCGGGTAGGGTACGGGTATCGGGTACCCGATTGCGACCTCTGCCCTCTAGAGGGCCTCTGTGGATCCCCCCATCTGGTGGAGGTCCTTCTGCCAGCAGTCGCTTCAACAAGCAATTGCGGGGCTGCTCCTTAACCTATACCTCCTCCCCTCTCTCTCTCTCTCACCCGCGACTCACGCTACGTGAGCACATTCGTAGTCCTCTCATTAAAAGCAGTGCACCACCTTGTGCCGTGAAACGACCTCCAAGAGGTTGCGTCGTAGAAATGTCACCTGGGTGAAGGTGAAGTCGCAGTGCTGCAAATGTATTTCAATGATATCCGCTGGGGCTTTGGATCGCAGTAAATTATTGTTGTATCCACGATTTCTCAAAACTATTTTTGGTGGCCGGGTGGCTCGCAATCAGCAGCTGGTTGCGAGTTTAAAATACCGGTTGGGTGGCAGGGGGTGGGGGTGTGGGTAGGGGGGGTGACTCAGCCCACCATTCCTCCGAGGTCGATACAATTGGTACCACTTTCTGGAGAAGTCAACAGCGTTTGTCCTTTGGTCGGTCTTGCCTCTGCCATGGGCATGTGGAATTTCCACCACTTGCTCTGGTCTGTAAACCGCGAGGCGAGCATGGTCTCAGTGCTCATTTGAGCCAGACATCGCGTCGATTTAATTTCATTTTAATGGGGTATCTATAAACGGATCACCCCCTTGAACCCGAGTGAAGCATTCAACATTTCGATGCGGCCAAGCGAGAGCTCCATTGTCTCTCTCTCTCTTTCTTCCCCTCCCTCCCCCATTGTCTTCCTCGCCATTGTCTCGCGTAGGGTTTCGGCTTGCTCTGCCTACGAGTAAGGGCGGGCCTGCGGTCGGAACATCATGTTTTGCGAACCGAAGAGTTTCAAATTTTCACGACGGTAACCGTGCCGGGGTTGATGAGCGGCGCGCTTCGCGTGGGATGCTCGGTGCAGGGAAGGTGGAAGGAAGAATCAGCCGAGGAGGCTCAACGAGAGGACAAAGCGGAGAGAGGGCTTCTGTGGCAACGAGCCAGAGGCGCGGCTCGAGTTCCACTCGGGGCTGGTTAGTGTAGTGGGTTTGGCTATAGGGGGGGGGATGGGGGTAATAGGTTTAGGGGTGGATATTTGTTGGGCCCCATTTAATTGCTTTCTGGGGTGTTGAGCCAGCTTTGTCACTGAGCAGTGTTGACATTATCAACGATATTCATAATAAAGATTTTTGGATTAGATTGCGTAAGTATGAATGTGTCGTAACCCTCCACCACCCGACACAGCCAATTAATAAGGGATTTGTCACGTAAACAAAACGCCAATTAGTTACTACTTCAGCCCACCGGTGTGTTGGAGAGTAAATCAACAACATTTACAATTTGAGTAGTACGACGTTTCGCTGGTAATTACATCCAACATCATCGGGCGATTTGTGGATTTACCCTCCAACACACCGGTGGGCTGAAGTAGTAACTAATTGGCGTTTCGTTTACGTGACAAATCCCTTACTAATTGGCTGTGTCGGGTGGTGGAGGGTTACGACACATTCATACTTACGCGATCTAACCCCGAAACCTTTATTATGAATAATATTGGTCGCGAAAGCCTGCTACGTGTTAAACTGATAATTACCAACGAAAGTTAGTCATGAAATGTGTTATCTATCTCTCGAGCAGTGTGTGGCGACTGGTCCGCCATGCAGAACACAACTGTGGGGACCTTTTGCGTTGAGTTTGTTATCCTTACACCGCACCTCCGATCAGCACGGTGTAGCTACACGTGGTGCGAAAGAAGTTCAACATGCACACGTACGCTAGTGGTTGGTTGATTTAGTTGTTTTGGGTCAGAAAATACGAATATATTACGACGTGGGACTCCCACAGAGAGCAGTGTAAAATGTGCACCGTGTTATCGAGAATAATGGCCTGTGGAAGATTATACCACAGAACTGCTGCCGAGATCCACGGCGTATTTTCAGCTGGGTCTCTTTTTGTCGCTCGATAGTTTGCAATCAACCTGGTCGGCGGGCTGGAAAAGATTTCGGTGCCCGGCACACCGCGTCCAGTATACACCCTCTTATTGCTGTGGGCTGTGGCTAATCCACACGGAGACGCTGGGAATATTCGGTGTGAGACGAATCCCCGCGGAGTTCCCGTCCGTGCGTCTAGAATCAACGCTTATTTGTGCATCTTCTGACACGCGCTTGCCAGGGAAGGGCAATCGCGTGGCGTCGGTCGGTTGTAACGCGTTGTCATCCGTCGTGGTAGAATAATCCAAATTTAAAAAAGCGCCCACCAAAATTTAGAAGGCTATTTGTTCAGGTTAATATGTAACAAATGAGTTGGTGATGATGATGATGCTGCTGCTGCTTTGGCAGTGGTGCACAAGCAAAACAAAAGGAAACGAAAGGGGCCATTGAGCTAGGGCCAAGAAGGGCTATTGCCCCGAAACGTTGCCTGTTGTCCATTTTTTTCTTTTAAATCTGCACTATTTTTTGGAGAATATGTTGAGCTATTCGATTGTTTTGCGTGTCTGTATTGGCCATTCGGGGCTGACACCGTCAACTCGCTGCGTAACGAGGATCACATTCAACCGCGGTTGGTTTACCCGGAGTTGAACCCATCTGCTCGGCGTCAATTGTGCCGGCTCGGCGACTCTGAGAAGGGGTGCGGGGCCGATTGTTGGGCCCTCTGAGCCCCGACCTGAACACCTCGGCGGTATGCGCGGATTTCGACGCAGCTGTTATCTTTGCCGATTTGAAGCTCGCTGCCAGCCGCAACACAGATGGGACATCTCTTCTCAAATGAGCTTCATTTCCTGTCACGGCAGGGGGGCCACGCGCGAGGAGGAGGTGGGGGAGGATGGGGGAGGATGGGCTGTGAGGGAAAAGAGGAGGATGGGGGGGGGATGGCTTTCTTGCAAGTCGTGTTTTGTGATCTCAGGCTCAAAGCGAGGGGAATTTACAGTCGAATTCAAACGTTTAAGCCCCAACCCAGGGGCTCTGCGCTCTCTGATGCTGCCCCTGATCTGTTGGCGGCAGCGGTGGCGGCGGCATTAGCATTTGTTAAAGGGACAGCACCCCCTGCACCCCCCCCCCCCCCACACGAACAAACAAAACCGCTCTTGTCTAGGAAGTGGCGGGTGTCAGACGCACGCGCCTCGGAGCTG